GAGAGGAAGAGGAAGAAGAAGAGGAGGAGGAGGAAGAGGAGGAGGGGGAGGGGGAAGAAGAGGAGAAAGTTTACATAGCATTAGGTATTATAAATAATCTAGAGAAGATTTAAAGTATACAAGAGTATGTACATGGGTTATTTGCAAATATGGTGCCATTTTATAGCAGTGACTTGGGTATCCTTGGAGTTTGGTATTGGTGGGATGGTCCTACAACCAGTCCTCTGCAGGTCCCAAGGGAGGATTGAAGGTGGAAAACACCTCTGTGTGCCACAAGTTTTCCTCACACGGACTGGGCCATCCACCACTCTCTCGGTGGGCCTTTAAATGGGACGAGTTTGGGAGAACCACTTACAGTTCTGCACTTGACCTTCTCTCCCAGTGGGTGACTCCGTGGATCAGATTAGCATTTGCATGAGTGCCTCTTTTGTCAATCTCTGTACCTAAGAGCAAGAGAGAGGATGATAGGATTCCAGGATTTGTCCTTTTCTGTTGTGACAATTAAAGCTGTTTTAAGCACAAGAGTTAATGGCTTTGATTCCACATTCTTGTGCTTTCCCATATTCTTGATACTTTGTCTTACAGGAACTGGGCAAGTCTAATCCCGTCTTCCCTTGATTCACTGAATCAGTGAACTGTATATAGGTGTCAGAACTCTGTACTTACTTACTTACTTTATTTATTTATTTATTTATAGATGGTCTCACTGTTCAGGGTGGCCTTGAACCCACTATATACCCCAGGCTGGTCTTGAACTTGTAATGATCCTCCTGGCTCAGCCTCCTGAGTGCTGGGATTATAGGTACACTACCACTTGTGGCAGAACTCTGTGCTTTTGTGGTGAGCAGTTCTTGTCTCCTGAGGCCTGCGTTTAATCCTTTGATCTCAGCAGTTGCCTCTGGCGCTCACCAGTCATTTGTATCTTTGTGGTGTGGGTGGGAAGTGAAGAGGAGACCAGAGGGAGCAATAGAGAGGAGAGAAGGATGTGGAAATAGCTGAGTGCCACAGCAGTGTATTGGTTGTGCTTGGGGAACTTCCAGGAATCCAGCAAAAGAGGGATCATCTTTTTGCTTTTTGGTTTTTTTTTTGGTACCAGGAATGGGATCATCTTTTTAATCTGGCAAAACCCACAAAGGATAGGCACAGGACTGCTTGATACCCAGCTAAAGCTGTCATTTGCTTTTGCTGGACAGAGGTTGCCTTCAAAGACTAAATTTAGATTCTATCTGAGCAGATGCTTAATTACAGATGTTAGCAGATGTTTATTGACATGGAAATTGTTTTTACAGATGAACCTTTTAAATCAAAGACTTTCAAATGTCATGCACATTAAATCATTGGGGAGACTATAACATGTCTGGCTCCATTCTTGGGGACTATGATTCAGTAGGTCTGAGTAAAGGCCAAGAATCTGCATTTTTTAATTTGTTGGTGCTGGAGATAGAATCCATGCATACTAAACACATGTTCTACCATTGAGCTACACCTCCAGCCCCAGGAATCTGCATTTTTAAGAGACATCTTGGGTGATTCACATAATCAGCAAACCACACTCCTCAAAAGACTGCCTTACAACTTGGCCCAGTTTTTTAAATAGCTTCTTTCTATTACAGTCTGTTTTAATCACTCTATTGAAGGATTTATTGGCATCTCCATGTTTATTACCTGTTTCATTCTCACAGCATCATAGTAACTAGAGCAGGAACCAGAGGTGATTAGCTGTATTTTGCTGGGACTGAGGGGGTAGACAGTGCGACTGCGACCTAGGGAGAGGTAGGTCACCATGAGTCAGTGACTAAGATGGGAACTAAAGTCCAGCATTGATGACTCTCAAACCAGGCAATTTTCTGAGCCCTGTTTTCTCAGCTTGTGATTTCATATTTAATCATAATTACTCCTTAGGCCTCCAATTCATTGTGCTTGGGGAAGCAAATCATATCTGACTTTTAACAAAATAGCTTATCGTCGGTGTGCTAGTTTTGTTAGCATATCAAGCCTCTTCTAAACCTGAGTGAATAGATTATGATATATACATAGGTGGAACTGAGTTCATCTGCTTCTCTCTGTGCTTCCTTTTTCATTTCTGAAGACTTTTTACATAAAGTATAAGGGAACAGATTTGTCCTTTCCATGCTAGTAGGATCTCCTCTGATCTTCTAACTAGTAAAGTACTAATTTAAAAACCTCCTTGTTCTCTGTCTCTCAAATTTGAGCAGTATATGGATCTATTTTTAATGGAAAAAAATCCTTAAAACTCTCAAATTATTCTTACTCCAATGTTAATTTTACAAATATAAAGCAGGAGTATAATGTTCTTTTTTCTTTTTTTCCATTTACTTATTCTAGTATTTCAGTGATTTTCTTTTTTGTTTCTTCTTTTTGTGGTGCTGGTGATTAAACCCAGGACCTTACACATGCTAGGCAAGTGCTCTACCACTAAACTATACTACCCCCAGCCCCTGTTATTTTATTTATAGTTCTTATACAGCTAAAACCCCAAAACAGATGTACAAATCAAATGCAGATAAAACCACAAGACTAATATTATTCAAATTAATATTACGGTAATTTAACATGACAAATGATTTTTTTGGACAAATGATGGTTTTTGTTAAAACTAAAACATCCTCATATTGAATTTTCTTTTTTAAGGGCAAGGTCTCACTTTGTAGTGCAGGCTGGGCTTTAACTCACCATGTATCCCAGTCTATCTTTGAATTTGTGGTGATCCTCCTGCCTCAGCCTCCTGAATGCTGGGATAACAGGCATGCCATCCCTTGTATTGTGACTATGGTATGGGCTGCTGAAATCTCAGTTTCTTTTGAACATGCCTATGATATCTTAATTTTCTCACTTCTCTCTCTCTCTCTTTTTTTTTTTTTTTGGTACCGGGGATTGAACTAGGGTCCTTGCACTTGCACAGCAGGCAGTGAAACCACTGAGCTAAATCCCCAGCCCATTTTTTTTTTGGTACCGGGGATTGAACTAGGGTCCTTGCACTTGCACAGCAGGCAGTGAAACCACTGAGCTAAATCCCCAGCCCAATTTTCTCACTTCTTTTAGCACTCCTGAAAATGAAGTCCCATGATAGCAGTTGGCTTTCACTTTGTGCATGAAAGCATCTTTTTTTTGCTATTTTTTTAAATTAAATTCTTTTATTGGTACATTGTAGGTATACAACACAGTTACATTTCTCATTGGCAATTGTTCCTTTACATAATGCAACTTGGTTCTTATTTTTTCCCCATTCCTAGCCCTTCCTTCACGCCCTCTACCCTTCCCTATTTACAAAGATTTTGTTCCTATTTTTCCATATGAAAGCATCTTTTTCATTTTAAATCCACCTATTTTTTCTCATTATCCCAGAACAATAGAAGCAGCAATGAAACACATTCAAATGTAGGTGCTGAAATCATGGGGCAATACTGATTTATAAAATAGTTATCCCAATAGCACAGACTATGTTTATGCAAATCTAAAAGTATTATAAAAATAAAACCCTGGAGAACACATTCATGGATCTGATTTGAGAAAAACTGTTCAGGTCTATTGGTTCCCAAACTTTCACCACTATCAAAAGTTTTATGTACTCTGTTTAACTTCCTGGAGTCCTATGCTTTAAAAAAGTTTGTCTCCTAAATTGCATTTATTAATATTAATTTTTTCTTTGCAGTTCTGGGGGATTGAATCCAGGGCCTCTGGATTGAGCTGTAGCTCAATCCTAGTCTCCTACACCTTTTTTTCTAGACAGTCTTGCTGAATTGCTAAATTGACCAAGCTAGGCTCGAACTTAAGATCCTTCTGCCTCAACCTACCAGAGTGCAGGGATTACAGATGTGCGCCACCATGCCCTGCTGCATTTATGAATAATTTTATAGTTTTAATAATCAGACCTATAAAAAGTATCATTTCAGAACTTGTGGTCATCATATGCAGTTAGAATGCTAAATTGCTTAAATTCCAGTTCACAACAAACATAAACATTCTAATTGTTTTGTGGTGCCCTTTTGGTAAGTGAAAACTTCCCATTCACTTTTGTTTTTGGTACCGGAGATCGAACTCAGGACCCTGCGAGGCGGGTGGCCGAACCACTGAGCTAAATGCCCGGCCCCCAATCCCTTTTGTAAGAAAGAACTCCCACCCTATCTCCTCCTCCTGCTGCCTTTAAGGACTCTTGGGAGTCTAGGGAGGCCAGTTTAGGCTTTCTTGTAACAAGCAAAGTAGCCATCCCACCCAACTTGGAAGGATTAAAGCTTGTCCTAGTTTTGCTTGATTGTTTTACTTCTTGCATGCTAAAGAGCTAAAAAATGGAAGGAAGAAAATACAACAGAAGGCACCATTCCAGTACCAAACTGAAAAGAAACACAAAAACAAGACAGCAGCATGTTTTAAACAGCTTGCATAGAAAAAATATTGACTGGGAATTTGGACAGCACTGTTCTCATTTTCTCTCACCGCCCGCGTTATTTGTCTTTGGGAGCAGCAGCTAACCACGATTCTGGCAAAGAGGCCGAAGGAAGAGGTGGAGGGGTTCGGTGTAGGCTTGAGGCCCAGTGGAGGAATTAGGGCCTCAGACCCAGTGGCTCAGAGCCAGGAAGAAGTTGGGGGAGGTGCTAAAGCCTTTTTCCTCTTGGCCTTGGGCACCCTTTCTGACCTGTCTGAGTCCTGTAAGATCACAGCACGGATGGCTCAGGTCTCTTGATTCCTTAAAACCACAACTAGTAGGATGAATCCCTGCCCCTGTTTCTTTCGGCTGGGGAAAGGTCGTAGGGGTTCCATTCGCTTTCTCAGCCCACCCTTCTTCTGGAGTTCAGATCTACAACTCCTGGAATGTAAGTCAGGTGGGAGCCTCTATCAGCAAGGCAAAGGTCAGTTCCCCCACCTCCACAGAGCCGGCGTGCCGGCCTCACCCAAGCCAGCCTGCGCGTGGGGCGGGTCCCGGGGCGGGTCCCGGGGGCGGGTCCCGGGGCGGGTCCCGGGGGCGGGTCCCGGGGCGGGTCCCGGGCGCGGGGCAGCAGGCGGCCACTCCCCAGAAGAGGAAGAACATGGCGGGTGCGGCGGGGCCCGGGAGCGGCCCGGGGTCAGCGGGGCGAGATGCAGACGATTCATTGTATCCGATTGCGGTTTTAATCGACGAGCTCCGCAATGAGGACGTGCAGGTACAGTACTGGACTGAGGCTGAGGAGCCGAGGCAGGCCCAGGGGACGCGTGGTGGGAAAGGGGGAAGGCCGGCCCTGCCTTGTGGGCGAGGCCCAGGAATTGAAAGAACGGGATTTGGAGCAGAAATGTGAGGGTGAGGCTGGAAGGACCCTAGAGGGTTGTGGTGGCCAGCCCTTACTCTCCCCTAGACCTCTCAGGCACCCCTTACCAGGGGCCCTGAGGCGTGGGCGCGGCACCCGGCTGCCCAGGGCGGTTTCGGAGAACCGGTTTCCCGCCTCTACCCCTTCCGGGCGGTGCGGTGGTCTCGCCGCGAGCGGCTGAAGCGGCCTGCGCCTCTCAGGAAGCCGGGGAAGCCCTTGGAAATGCAACCGCCTGCCTTCTTTCCGGCTTGGAAACTGGCTGGGCTTGTTAGGTAGAAAGGGTGAGATGGCTGATTAACCTAGACGACTCTGTCTGTCAGCTGTGGTTGAACTTTTCTTTAAAGAGACAGGAGTTATATTCAGCCATTTCACCTGCTTCACTACTGCCACAGTTATTTTTTTTTAAAAATTATCTTATTCCTGGGTATTGTCATTCATTCATTTCTGTTCTAAGCTCCTCGGTGTTTTTCCTTGGAAATTCTCCTCTGGCTAGTGAGTGTTACCTCGCCTGGTTTTTATTGCCATATTTGTTATTTTGTTTGCCCCTTTTGTCTTTTGGTCTGAATTGCAACCCTTTCTTTACTTTGTTGTTCTTCCCACTTTATTTTTTTTTAAAAGCTCCGTCTCAACAGTATAAAAAAGTTGTCAACAATTGCTCTAGCACTTGGAGTAGAAAGGACCCGAATGGAACTGCTGCCATTCCTTACAGGTAAGTGTCTTTGTTTGGAGTATCATTAAATACTGAACTGAGGCTGGTGCTTTTTGTGCAAAAGAAACAGAACAGCGTATAATAATGTTACAGCTGGTGCCAGGGATTTAGCCCATTGGTTTCAAAGCCCACCTCGAAAGTGCAAGGTCCAGAGTTCGATCCCTGGTACCAAAAAAAAGAAAAAGGAAAAAAGTTACACCTGGATGTTATTCGAACATTAACCAGTTAGCAAACTGGAAAGTAATTGATATGGGAGCATGAATTTCTAATTCTGTAAGACAGATTCAGGAAGACTGCTGCATGAGAAGGAAGAAAATGCTGTTAGGATTGGGACTGCGCCATCTTACTGTCTGCTTGCTGAGTCTGTTCCAACTTTTGTGTGAATGTCCAGCTCAGGGCCACTTGTCCTTATTGATGAGTACCCAGTTGTTGTCATTTCCAGATACAATTTATGATGAAGATGAGGTGTTGTTAGCTCTTGCTGAGCAGCTGGGAGATTTCACTGGCCTGGTGGGAGGTCCAGACTTTGCCCACTGTCTACTGGTGAGTACCTGTCTTCTGTGTACCCTCCTTCTAGAACTTTTATAGTATAAATGATACGTTATTTGGTGAGAGACACAAAACAGCATTTTTTATGCACATCTTTATGGATATATAGTCATAATGCTAGCAATTGAGAACAAATAATGTAGGCACTTTTAACTCAACTCTTGTTATTTTTTCTGACTGACTACAAGAACTTTTTCTTCTAGCACAGTAAACCTGTTAGTTCAGAGGCAAGAGGGAAAGAATTTGATTATTTTTATGTTTTGTTTTCCACCCCTGAAATTGGAAGTCTTTTTTTTTTTCTTTTTGGTACCAGGGATTGAACTTGGGACCTTGCGCTTGTGAGGCAGGCGGTGGAACCATTGAGCTAATTCCCCGGCCCAGGTTTTTTGTCTTTTGATAACAGAGTCTCGCTCTGTAATTCAGGCTGGCCTCAAACTCGTGGAGATCCTTCTGCTTCATCCTCCTGAGAGCTGGGATTGGCATGTGCCACCACACCTAGTTATGAAATTGGAAGTCTTTTTTTTTTTGGTACTGGGCATCAAACTTAGGACCTTGTGCTTGCCGGGCAGGTGGAGTGCCACTGAGCTAAATCCCCAGCCCGAAATTGGGAGTCTTAATTCTCATCTAGTAATATTTTGTTTTTATTTGTCTTATCTTTTGCACCTGACTAATCTTTGTGAATTTAATGAATTCAATTTAGTTGACATGTTACCTGATTATATCAGGCACATTGTAAGTCACAGTATTAATGTTTAAGACCAGTGTGAATGCAGTGTGGTCTCTTTCTGTGTAACAAATAATTAACTGTACAGTTTTAAATGGAAAAATATAAGCACCCACAAATCACCCAAGTAATGGTGAGCAGAAAAGGATTAATTTAGGGTAATCAGGGAAGATGATGTCTGAATTAGGTTTTACTGTTCTTTTTTTTTTTGGCAGGGGTGGGTGGATACCGAGTATCAAACTCCGGGACCTTGTGCTTTCGAGGCAGATGCTGGAACCACTGAGCTAAATCCCTGGACCTTGAATTAGGTTTTAAAGGATGCCTGAGAATTCACTAGTTGGACAATATGGGGATGTATGCTTCAAGGCTTTTAATAGTGATGGTACTGGCTTTTGTCATTTCTCTCCCTACCAACATCTGTTCCATGAAACTCTGGAGATGTATGGATAAATAAGTACAGTTTTTTGTTTGTTTGTTTTTTTTCTTTTTTTTTTTTGGTACCGAGGATTGAACTTGGGACATCGCGCCTGTGAGGCAGGTGGTGGAACCAGTGAGCTAAGTCCCTGGCTGGGGTTTTGTGAAAAATAGATGTAGATAGTTTCTGTATATATTTACCTGTAAGTATATCTGTTTGTGGTTTTCCTACTTGAATTTCAAACAGGCATTTTAAATTTAACATGCCTAAAACTCTCCTTAAAATATGCCTGTCATTTAGTTTTGTCACCATCTACCACCCAAGCCTAGAATTTTTATTTTCTTTTTTTCCTTCTGAGATTGAATTCAAGGTCTCCCACATGCTAGCTAGGCAAGCACAGTACCAGTTGGCTGCATCCTGAGTCCTAGAAGATATTTTTGAATCCTTTCCTCCTCCTTCCCATATCTAATCCATTAGTAACATGTAGAGAGTCTACATATATTCCAAATCTGTTCTCCTTCTTTCATCCCTACTACTACTGCCTTAATGTAAACCCCACAACCTTTTTACTTTCTTTCTTTTTGGTACCGGGGATCGAACTCAGTCCTTCTGCTTTTGAGGCAGGCAGCGGAACCACTGAGCTCTAGATCCCTGGCCCCCTAAAATTGGTACAACATATACTATGTAGGCTTTTTGTTCTTTCTTTCTTTTTGGTACCAGGGATTGAACTTGGGACCTTGTGCTTGCAAGGCAGGTGGCAGAACCACTGAGCTAAATCCCTGGCCTCCCACAACCTTTTTTATGTTACGGTTGTAGCTTTCTAACTATAGACATTCAGTTTAGAATTTGTTGACTTTACAATGCTGAAAAATGATATATAGTCAGTAGAAATTGTACTTTACGTTTTGAATTTTGATGTTTTCCCAGGCTAGCAAACTCAGTACAGTACTCTCATGTGCTGCCTAGTATTGACAGCAAGCTGCACATCTCAGCCACAATCTGATCACAAGGGTAAACAACTGATACTCTGCATGTACTGTGTGGCTAATCTAATGTTTGTAGGTTGTGTGTAGTAAGTGCATTTTTTACTTATGTTGGGTTTATTGGGATGTACTGTAATTCCATTGGAAATTTGGGGGCATCTGTAGTTGCCTCCTTTTGCTTCTTCCCACCCCTATAGTTCATTCTTTACTCAACAGATGGATTACTCCCTGCTATGACTCCTTGAAAATCCAGACTCTGTACCTTGTTATAAGACCCTTCTGTGATCTGTCTCTGTAGGCTTATCACAGGTCACACTCTGCCTTGATAATTTTATTCCATTCACATTCTTTGTTCTTTTTTTTTTTTTGGTACCAGGGATCGAACTCGGGACCTTGTGCTTGTGAGGCAGACGGTGGCACCGTGCACTCCATGTATTACTTCTTTTTTTTTTTTTAGGTACCGGGGATCGAACTCAGGTCCTTGCGCTTGCAGGGCAGGTGGCAGAACCACTGAGCTAAATCCCTAGCCCCTCCATGTATTACTTCTAATGAAATACTCTTTCTTTTTTTTCCTCTCGGTACCGGGGATCAAACTCAGGACCTTGAGCCTGCCAGGCAGGTATAGTGTTGCTAAACTACATCCCCGGCTCCTGAAATGCTCTTTTGAAGTCTCCCATCTCGGGCTTCTTGTCACAACCACTTCAACTCATTTTCTGAGGCCTTCTCTGACCACTCAACTTGAAATAGCCTCACAGTCACTCCTTATCACCTCATCTTGTTCTGTTTCTCTACCAAGTACTAGTTACCATCTACTCGGTGTTTTTTTTTTTTTTAGTTGTGTTTTCCTCCATTAGAATGTAAACCTTTCCCTAAAGCAAGGAACTTTGTTTGCACATTTCTTCTGTATCCTCAGTGTTAGAGTACAATAACAATAATTTATTAAAAGAATGAGTTTCATAGGCTTAGAACCATGAAACTTGTTGGGTTCAAAACTGCTGAAGTGTAAAGAGTTGGGGCTGGACTAGGCAGGAGTGTTAATTGGGCCAGTAGGAAAAGAACATAGAGAAGTAAGTGGGCAGTGTTCAAATCAAGAGACAACTCACAAGTGATTCTCCAGAGTTTGGCCTTAAACTATAGTAGTGATAGAGATTATTCAGTGATACTACCTGATCAGGCAGGGAACAGTTGAAAAACATTGGCAAGTCAGAAGTAGTATCTTTTCAATGGCCTGCTGAAATACCCTCTATTTTTTGGTATTGGGGATCAAACTCAGGACGCTGTGCTTGCAAGGCAGGTGGCTGCACCACTGAGCTAAATCCCTGGCCCCCTGAAATACCGTCTTGGAATCTAAGTACTACCTACTTCTGGTATCAAACAGTTTCTGAAATATATTGCTGTTTGAGGCAGACTCAGTTCTTTCCTTTGAATCATTATCCATCTGTTTCATTCTATTGGTCAGTTCTCGTGGAGTTTTATACTTTAGCATGTACAGCTCATGCCGTAATGCTGAACCTGGCTGGACCAATGCAAACCCAGAAAGGCAGAGATTTAGAGAACCAGCCTGTTGTACTTTACACTGGGCTATGTCATACTCAATACCTAATTCTGGTCCAGACCATCAATGCCTTTGATCTCTTCTGTTTCTTTTTTTTTTTAGAGTAGGAAAAATTTATTGAGAGAAAGAAAGCTTCTAAGAGAGACAGAAAGGGAACCAGAAAGTGGGTTGCCTTGATCGCTTCTGTTTCTAAAGCTAGAAGTAATATCTCCTACTGTCTTTGTACTTTTCACTTGAGGTTCTGTCAGAAACCTGCTCTTTGGTTAAGGGAAACGTTCTGAATATATTTTGAAAAAAAATTAGTTTTGTACTCAGCCTTTTATAGGTTGGATAAATTGATGGTGTGGAGTAAGTAGACAGGGTTGATTGTACTTCAGGAATGGTAGAATAGTGCTTAAAAGGCTATGGACCCAGTGACCTGCCAGAATACCATCATATAATTTGATGCCAAGTTTTGGTTGTATTACTGCGCTTAACTTTTTATTTTTTTGAGTGGGGGTACTGGGGATCAAACTCAGGACCTTGTACTTGTGAGGCAGGCACAGCGCCACTGAGCTAAATCCCCCACCCTTGCACTTACTCTTAAGGAAATATACACAATCCTGTCTGAATTTGGCTGCACATTATTTAAACTTAATGATTCAGTTCCCAGTAATAGTAATATTGTGTCAAATCTCTTCTACTGTGTCATTTGTAGATACCAGCTGGGAATTGCCATCTGGGACATGGATCTTGGCTTTTCTACAGAAGTCGTGTCTTTAGGTTGGCCACACCATATGTTATCACTGTGTGAATTGAAAGTAACCATGTGGTATGGTGTAGCTAACATTCTGGCTACGTGTACTGCTTCCTTTCAGTCACATTAAAGGTGACAGTCTATATCTAACCTGATTGAGTAAGTTTTCTTTGGTTTTCCTCTTCAGCCTCCTTTGGAAAGTCTGGCAACTGTGGAAGAGACTGTTGTTCGAGACAAGGCTGTGGAGTCCCTGAGGCAGATCTCTCAGGAGCATACTCCTGTTGCTCTGGAAGCTCATTTTGTACCTCTGGTGAAACGCCTGGCGAGTGGGGATTGGTTTACCTCTCGTACATCTGCATGTGGTTTGTTCAGCGTTTGCTATCCCAGGGCTTCAAATGTTGTCAAGGCAGAAATTAGACAGTAAGATATTTTTAGTATTTATTAGTATTAGGGGTTTTTGGGGACTCAGCTGACAATTTACACAGCACAGTATATTTTTAACTAGTGAGTCACTGATACTAGGATAGTGGAATTAATGATAACATTTTCATTATTCCTTTGAATATATCCTGTTTTGTTTTTGTTACAAACCTAATCGCTGATGTTTATAAGAGGAGTTTCTGTCTGTATATGATGGGGTATGTTAAATCAATAGTATTTACCAGAAAATACTTTTGTTTTATATTGCAGGCACTTCCGTTCCCTGTGCTCAGATGATACACCAATGGTACGACGTGCAGCTGCTTCCAAATTGGGTGAATTTGCAAAAGTTTTGGAATTAGACAGTGTGAAAATTGAAATTGTTCCTTTGTTCATTAATCTAGCTTCAGATGAACAGGTAAATAACTTGTATTTAAGCGGAACAGGTATGTTCCTTCCCTCTAACATTTGAAACACTTTTTTTTAATGGTATTGGGGATTAAAGTCAGGGTGTGGCACACTGAGCTATATCTTTAGCCCTTTAAAAGAATTTTATTTTATTTTTTTTGGTACGGGGGATCAAACTTGGGACCTTGAGCTTGCGAGGCAGGCGCCAGAACCACTGAGCTAAACCCCCCGGCCCTTTTAAAAAAAATTTTGAGACAGATTTGCTAAGTTCTCCAGGTTGGCCTTGAACTTGTGATCCCTCTGCCTCAGCCTCCTGAGTAGCTGGCTTGTGTGCTACCACAGCCATCTCATTTGAAACATTTCTTTGGGCATTTTGTTTCTTATATTTGGATTCTTTTTGTAAAATTAGTACTTAATTCTGGTCTGATACATCTCATCTCATTGTGTTCAAGTTTCTTAACCAGACCATGATTTTCTCTAACAGCTATTAAAAGAAGGGGAAGTCAGAGAGGAAATAGGAGCCATAATTAGAAAGGAAGAGCAAAGCTGCATCAAGGGATAACGCTTTGGGAATTACAGGCTGTATTGTAATATGGTAGTATAATGTTTCCTGGAATTTTGACTTTCAGATAAATATTAAAGCATAGGATGAATGTGTTAGGAAAGCTATTTGATCTCTGCACTAATGAATGGGATTACTGCATATAATAATTTTAACTCCAAGAATCTAGATTTCTTTTTTTGTTTTTGTTTTTTGAGACAGGGTCTCCCTGTGTAGTTCAGGTTGACCTTGAACTCACCAAGTAGCTCAGGCTGACCTCAACTCACAGAAATCCTGCTTCAGTCTCCTGAGTGCTGGGATTACAGGCTTGTGCTACCATGCCTGACTAATTTAGATTTCTTTGGTGTAGAAATAATAAAATAGCAAACATCTAAGTAAAGTACTTAGTATAGTCATCTTCTGTATAGAGGAGGTAGGGATTGATTTGAGTACCATCTAAGGATAAAAAAATCTACAGATGCTCAATTCCATTACATGAGATGGTATAGTGTTTGTGTATTACCTGGGCACATCTTCCTGTATACTTTTTTTTTGTTGTGCTGGGTATTGAACTTAGGGCCTGGTACATGCTAGCTAAGTGCTCTACCACTAATTTACATTCCTGGCATCCCCCATGTACTTCAAATCATCTCTAGATAATATCTAGTACATTTAAATGTTACATAAATAGTTGTTATACTTTATTATTTAGGGAATGATGATAAGAAAAAAAAGTATGTGTTCAGTACAAAAAATGTATTTTTCCTTAGTATTTTTAATCCATGGTTGGTTGAATCCATGGATGAGGAACCCACAGATATGAGGGAGCTGACTGTATTAACATCTCTTTAAGTAGCTGCTGTATTAAGAAAACCCTTATCAGATGGGTAACCCCTGTTTAACATATTAAGAAAGGGAGGCATAGAGAGTTTAAGCAGCTTGCTGAAGGTTCTGTAGTTGGCTGTGGTAAAATCAGGATTTGAATCTAGACTGTGGCTTTTGAGTTTACACCCATTATAGCTAGGGTCTACTGCCTGTCTGTAATGGTGCTTAGAAAGGTTAGCTCCCAGAGTTCCTGGTCTCTGGGGGAAGAGTCTTTCTGGATTTTTGATGGCCTGCTCTAGGATTAGTTCACATGTACATACTAGGAGCACCAGCATACATTGATGAGTCCCATTTTCAGATTTTGAATTTAAAGATGCTTAATCTTGTAAAATAATTTTTTAAATTTCTTGAAATAACATACAAAAACACATAGCATACAACTTAATGAATTATTATAAAACAGTAGCATCTTACAACTTTCATCTGTGAAAGGAGATATACTTTGACAGCTGCTACCCCAGAAACCCTCCCTGGGCTAGTCTTCCGCACATAATCCCTACCTCTTTCATTTCCCAATCCCATAAGAGCAACCTTATCTTGATTTAACACATTGTGGTTTAAAACAGAGCTAACAAATACAATTTTGGCTACCTGTAATTTTAGGTTTTCTACTGTACATTCTTACCATTTGTATTTTTATTATTTATTTTTGGTACCGGGTATTAAATTCGGGACCTTGCGCTTGCGCTACAGGTACTGGAACCACTGAGCTAACCCCTGGCCCATACTGTCTACATTCTTAAGAGTAGAAAGAAATAGTGAAAGTAATATATTTTATTTAACCCAAAGTTTCTGAAATCATTTGAATATGTGGCATTAGCTTCATTTCAAGTACTCAGAACCCACATTAAGATGGTGGCTATAACACTGAACCACCGCAAGTTCATAATCTTCATTTGGAATTTTGTTCATTATACTTCCCATGGTATAATTTTAACATTTTCTTTTGTCTTCTATATTTCCTCCCAAGTGATAGTCGTATCTAGAGTGGAGGTTTGCAGACTTCTTTTGTGAAGGCCCAGATCATAAACATTTTAGGCTTTGTGGGTCAGATAGTTTCAGTTGTAACTACTCATTTCTGCTGTTGTAGTGCAAAAACAGCCACAGAGAATGTGTAAACTAATAAACATGACAGTGTTCCACTAAAACCTTATTTATGAAAACTGTCCTGGATTTGGCCACTATTTTCTCCACACTTGACCTATAGTCTTAAAGTTAAGTTTGATATTTTAGGGGTAAAAAGACAACTTCATAGTCGGAAGTATATATGGTACTGTTAGTAGCATTTGATGCTCAAAATATATGAAGTGCTTTGTTACAAAATATTTACATTCCCTCTGAACACCAATAGAATAACTGCTTTTGGCTTATTCATTTATTGAAAAAATATTTATTAAACACCTACTATACAATTAGGCACTGTTCTGTTCCTGGAGTACAGTGTTGAACAAGGCTTAGACCTTGTTCTCAAGGTATTTACTTTTTAATGGAGAAAATAATAACAGACAAATATTAGGGATAAATGATATGAAAACAAAGTAAAGTAACAAAATACGGAAGGATTATAGAAGTTTTTTCTAGATTAGCTAGTCAGAGAGGACTCTGGAAAAGTGGCATAAATTGAGACATGAAAGAAAAATGTCATGCATGCTGTTTCCTAGATTGTCAGAGCTCCAGAAAAAGAATTCCTTGAAGACAGGATATGAGGTATAAAGGTCCTGTGGTTGGAACATAGTGTTCTAAAGAGACATAGTGGTAAGAGATAAGTTGGAAGAAGGTAAGCAAGGCCAGTTCTCTAAGCCAGAATATAGAGTTTGGGTTTCCTTTTCAAGGTGCAGTGGGACTACACCGAGATTTTGAGTAGAGATATGACATGATATAATTAATATTTTCAAAAGATTATTCTGGCTCCTGGATGGAAACTAAATTGGATGAGGGATGAAAATTTAAAAAACCAGTTAGGAGACTTTTACAATGGGGAAGAGCTGCATATAAGATTTGGAAGTGGAGTTCAGAAAATTTATAGTGGTGTGTTAGATGAGGGAAAGAGGAATCAAGACCTAGATTTTTGGAATGAGCATCTGGATGGTGGTGTCATTGCCAAGATGGAGAGGATTCTAGTAGGGGAGGCAGGTGTAGGGGAGAAAAATCAGGAGTTCTGGAAGAGAAGTATTTGTTGACATATTTCAGTAGATGACAGTAGTTTCGTGCGTTAGTTTCATTTTCAAAATCCAAAAATATTTGTGTAGCCAGTACCAAAAACCTAGTTCTGCCTTTTTTGCCTGTTCCTTTGGATACAGAAGAGTGAGTATGTCTTAGGCATATAGGTTATTGTTGTGGATTTACAATATTTAAAATTTGTACTATTTTAGAAAGTTGAAGTCTCGTCTCTGATTATATATGTGTATACCGGTATGTAATTGTTTGTATCTACATTAAGTTTTTGTCCTGTTTCTCCTGGGTGCTTACATGTTCACATGTTTCCTGTTTCTGCTTACATATGTATAATTCCCAAGTCATCTCAGTTCCTAATTGTATATTTCCACTTATTCAAAGGACATACAGGTGTCACATTGGCACTTGGCATTTTACTTTTGGAACTCTGCGTTCATTAGTCCTATGTCTTTCTAATTTTTTCTGCTGTTTTTTTAGACATGCTGACCTCAATGTTAGTCTGTCTTTGATCTTCAGCATTTATTTAATTTATTTATTTAGGTTTTTTGTTTTTTTTTTTTTTTTTGGTACCAGGGATCAAACTCAGGACTTTGGACTTTTGAGGCTGGCGGTGGCACCACTGAACTAAATCCCAGTGATTTATTTTTTTTGACGCAGCGTCTTACTTTGTAGTACAGGCTGGCCTTGCACTCATGATGTAGCCTAGACTATGGCAATCCTCTTGCCTTAGCCTCCTGAGTACTAGGATTACGTGTGTGCCACCATACCTGGTGATCTTCAACATTTACATCTTTTTTTTTTAATTACTAACTTTCCATTTGTTCTGTGTTTTTCTTTTCTGAATTGCAGTCTCATGCCTAAATTCCTATCACAAATTGAGTTATTTTGAAAACAGCTTCCTCAGTGATTTTCTTTGACCCCTTTGTTCTGATGTTAAAAATAACTTATACAAGTATAATTTTCATTTTTATCCTTTGACTTCCTATAACAGGCTTTGAAGGTATCATTAAAATATTATTTTTTTCATTTTATCTTTACATATTCTTTCATTTTTAAAAATAAATACCCTGTACTTTTCAATTTATAACAGTTTTATCTTATCTGCCATTGCAGGCAAAGAGGGCAGCTATTCAGCTGTTCCAAGGCGTGAAGACATGAAATCACACGTGGTGTAGCTGCAGATTTTTTTTTTCTTTTTTTAAAACGATATCCACAATAGCACCGCTTCACACCATACACAGGGCCCCCTTGGCTCTCACTAAATATTGTGTAACAGAACTTTGTCTCTTTAGGACTCAGTACGCCTGCTAGCTGTGGAAGCTTGTGTCAGTATTGCCCAGTTGTTGTCTCAGGATGATCTTGAGGTCTTGGTAATGCCTACCCTTCGACACGCAGCTGAAGATAAATCTTGGCGAGTTCGCTATATGGTAGCTGACAAATTTTCAGAGGTAAAATCACTGCACTGGCATTTTTTTTTTTTTTTTGTACTGGGGATCGAACTTAGGACCTTGCGCTTGCAAGGTAGGTGCCGGCACCACTGAGCTAAATCCCTGGCCCTACACTAGCATTTTTAAGTATTAAAGGAAAAAACCAAAGCAAAAACCCATCAGATTTGCTGTTTCACCAAAAGTTTCTGAATGAATTCTGTTGAATAGTGTTTGGCAGAAATATATACTTGAAGATTACAGTTTTATATGCTGATTATTTTGTTAGTATATATGAAAACCTGTACAAATTTCTTTAAAGCTCCAGAAAGCCGTGGGTCCTAAAATCACCTTAAATGACCTCATCCCCGCCTTTCAGAATCTGCTTAAAGACTGTGAAGCTGAAGTCCGAGCAGCTGCTGTTCACAAAGTAAAAGGTTAGATGGTTCAGTTTGTGTTGTAAAATGTCATTCATTTTGGTGTTTTTTTTATTGGTGGTGAATTTTGCACATTTTGTATTTTTGAATATGTCTTAAATACAGATAATTTCATTGTGTGAAAATGTCAGTTGTTATATAAACCTTTACATTTCAAACTAAACCATTTTATCTTTTTTTTTTTGGTACCGGGTATCAAACTTGGGTCCTTGCACTTGAGCAGCTGGCGGCGAAACCACTGAGCTAAATCCCTGGCCCTAAACCATTTTATCTTGTTTCTTTTAAAAATGAATTTATAGGTTAGATTGATATCACAAGTGGCATAAATATTGATAGGTTATTTATTGATAGATTGATAGGTATTTCATTTAGAGTGAGTCATTTTCCCTCTTAGAGCTTATTTGCTTCAGTATTTGATGTAATTTAACTTGTAACTGTTGATAAAACTTAAGAGTTCTTAATTTGTCTTATAAATGACTCTATGAAAATATGATTTTCTTCTATTTATCTTCTTTTAGAGCTTTGTGAGAACTTGCCTATTGAAGGTAGAGAGACCATAATTATGAATCGAATTTTGCCATATATAAAGGTAAATGTAACTTCAGTTTATTTTTTTTCATTCTGCCCTATATGAAGGTAAACCTTAACTCAGTTTTTTTTTTTCTTTTGCCTTAAAACTCTTGGAATTTAAAGGTGGACAAGGGATGAATGGGACAGTTGTTAAATTGTCACATTATTATTTATCACTTATTAATACTTATGGTAAAATGTTCTTTGATGCTTCAATCTCTTATCTAACAGATGGTCTGAGGAAACATTGCCAGCCAGTCAGTATTGGAATAGTGCTATATTTAAATTCCTTGGGAGATGGTATGGGGATTTCTGTTGTATTACAAAAACAAAAGTCTTTTAATTTTGATTTTATTTTAGGAATTAGTATCTGATACCAACCAGCATGTCAAAATAGCTCTAGCTTCTGTAATTATGGGATTATGTACCATTTTGGGCAAAGAGAATACTATTGAACATCTTCTACCTCTTTTTTTAGCTCAGTTAAAGGATGAGGTGAGTCTACATGTAATTTCTATTGCCTTTGATAGTCATTGATTTGATAAGATTTTGGATTAGAGTTTCACTAAAATAGGACCCAAAATATGGAAATGGATTTAAAAAACCGTAAATTGTAAAAAACCATAAACTTGTGTTTGGATTTAGGGTTACAAATTCCCCAGAAAATGGACATAGGGACTCATTAAAGCAAACTTAAAAACATCTATCCAGGCCACTCTGTTTGCTCTTGCATAGTGGTCCGTTCTCACGCTGTAAGGTGTACTTCTTTTCCTACTTTTTCTTGGCCAAAACTCGTTCTGTAGAGCTTCTTTTCCTACCTTTAATAAAACTTTATTAAAGTTAAAAAAAAATCTACCCATCTTCTCTGCACGATTTTTGCTTTATATTCACTGATTATCTTTAAAGCTAATCTTTGCTTAAAAGGACCTTTTATTTAAGTTTAAATATAATATCAAAAATTATAATAGCTGACATTTATCAAGTGATTAATATGGGGTAGGTGTGATACTACTCTATTATTGTTACATGTAATCTTCATAAGACTTTGTTTGCATTTTTCAGATGAGGAAGTTGAGGCACAGAGATAAATTGAGTACATGTAATTTCATTCCCAAGCCTGTGCTTTTTAACATCTCATAGATTTCTCCCTGAAAGTTCTAGTTAAGATCAGTTACATTTATTATCTTAAATTATTTGTATACTCAGTATTCAGTATTTTTTTAAGGCTATACTTTTTTGCGGTGATGGGGATTAAACCCAAGGTCTTGTGCTGTTAGCAAGTACTCTATCATTGAATTATATCCTCAGCCCCCTCCGCCCCTTTTTTAACCAGAGTCAATAGTTTCTTTCTTTTTTTTTTTTTGGTTCTGGGGATTGAACTCAGGACCTTGTGCTTTCGATGCAGGTGCTGGAACCACTGAGCTAAATCCCTAGCCCCTGGAGTTAATAGTTTCTAATTTGAAAATTTACTTAGTAGTTTTTACCTTACTATGATGGGAGAATTTGTGCTGAGTGTCTAATTTTTACATGTGGTCTTTGCGGGCTTGTGTATTTATAGTGTCCTGAAGTTCGTTTGAATATCATCTCAAATTTGGATTGTGTTAATGAAGTTATTGGAATCCGTCAGCTCTCTCAGTCTCTCCTTCCTGCCATAGTGGAACTGGCTGAAGACGCCAAGTGGCGGGTGCGGCTAGCTATCATTGAGTATATGCCACTGCTGGCGGGCCAGCTGGTGAGTATATGCTTGATGAACTGAAAGGTAGCATCACAGAGTGGAGATTTACCATAAGTAGGAGGCCTGGATAGCCTCCGTGATTCTGTTCATTTAGATGCATGAAAGGGTACTCTTGTCCTTGTTGCCTTGGGATTTTTTTTTTGTTTTCCTTTAGTGCATTAACTTCTAACAGGTATTACAGAAACATGTTTTACCTTATTGCCACTTAACAAAACCACAGAAGAATGTAATCAATTTATTGGTAAATTAAGCATAAACTTTGTAATATTTAATGCCTATCTGATTTAAAGACTAATCAATGAAAAAGAAAATTGTGGTGGCCAGTTAAGTCAGTTTTGTTTTGTTTTTTTTTGGTAATGGTAGCAAAGTTTTATTAAAGGTAGGAAAAGAAACAGGCTGTGCAGAGTGAGTTTGGGCCAAGCAAAAGTAAGGAAAGAAGTACACCTTACAGTGTGAGGGCAGGCCACCATGGAAGAGCAAACAGTGGCTGTCAGTTTTGCTTTTTGTTCAAGGCACCTTTCCTCTATTTGCTTTTTTTTTTCTTTTGGTACTGGGGATCGAACTTGGGACCTTGTGCTTTTGAGGCAGGTGGCAGAACCACTGAGCTAAATCCCCAGCCCTGTTTGCCCATTTTTTTTTTTGGTACTGGGGATTGAACTCATGTCCTTGCGCTTGTGCACCAGGCGGTGAAACCACTAAGCTAAATCCCTGCCCCTGCCCATTTTGTTTTTCCAGTATCGGGGATCGAACTCAGAACCTTGCACTTGCCAGGCCGGTGCTGGCACCACTGAGCTAAATCTCTGGCTGTTTGCCTATTTTCTAAGCAAGATGCCCCTATGAACCATTTTTCCTATATTCTGATTAAAGGGAATTGTAGAATCAACATGTAGAAAAGCGTATAATGCTAGTTATTTTGGCCAAAGTTAGCTTTATCATGTTATATCTTACTATTTAAATTTATGATTAGTTTTACTCTTAACTGGTAACCACTATACTTAAAATTTCAAAGGTGGGCTTTATAGCTACATCCTTTTTTTTTTTCACAAGATGCCCTTCAGAGTATTTTACCCTTACCCATGTTGGTAGCACTTCAAGGTATTATAACTGTCTGTTACAGTCTAGTTGGGGAGATAGACAAATGATCGTTATTAATGAGGCACTTGACATTTGTCAGTTATGCAATAAACAAATACCTGAATTTTTTTTTTTTTTTTTGAGAAAACCCATAATGCATCAGTTTGCTGCTAACATTACTACAATGCGGGTCCCCCCTACCCCGGCCCACTTGTATTTCTTTCAGATCATAGCATATGGGGTTTATTTTTTCTTTTCTTGGACCATTGAATTTGTATTGCTAATTTTGGTATATTTAGTTTATGAACATATATCTTGTGGATGTCTGTGGCATTTCATGTTTTATAAAATTTGAAGTGCTCCATTCTTCAAAATGGATTGCAAAGGTATCAGCATGTATAATAGGGTTAAAGTTATTTTGTCAAATGTTTTCACTGTCACTTCCAAATACTGGAGATCATTTGTGTTCTTCACTGGTGGCTGTCAGATCACCCTCTGGAGTGGAAAGCAGCTGTGGCTGATGGGTTTGCTGAAGACTGAATCAACTCTCAGAAAAGGAGGTTGAATTTAGGTTTCTTTCTTTCAACCTCTACTCCTAGATCTGGAAAGTCTCCAAAAGTTGCTAGCCCTACAAAACAGTATGGAAGCAAAGATGGTGCCTTTGGCTGGCTTCTACCTGTCTGGCAGGGGTGACATGTATCATTCATGAACATTTTGTTTTATAATTTGTGCTTCATGTTAATATACATATTCTTCTTAATTTTTTTTTATGTGTAAAGATTTTCTTTACCAATTAATTTATAAAATTCTCTCAAGACTATCCTGGCTGATAGACCATGGTGAATAAATATAGAGTTAAACCACAAAAATCAGGAAATAAAAGTTAATTAAGACTGAAGGAAACTCTTCACCCCAAAATTAAAAAGAAATCTTTGAAAGCTGACATGGTAATGTGAATATCTGCCCAGATCCATTCATAATGATTTGTAAGATAAAGCCATTTTGTTTATTCAACCACTGCTTTCAGGGCATGGGAACTTTATATTGTATTTCTTTAAAATATTATCATCTTTGGTCACAAATTTTGTAGAATTCAAAGGATCAAAAGACTATACCCATAAGGAAGGCATCAGGAAAGTACATGTTTGAGCCCTCACCCAGGGTGAGAGGTTAGTGTGAATCATCTCATTCCCATTGACTAGAGGAGCAAGGCTGGGAGAGCTAGGGTGGATCTGCCTGTGACTCCCAAGCAGGGGCCTCTTACCTGTACTCTTGCACTTGCTTTATTCTCCATCCAGTGCTTTCTCCCTTCTTTCCAGAAATACTATATTTTATTGGTGATATCTTGATGCCAGTTACATCATCCTTAAGGATTTTTTATGATACTAACCTAAAAGGGGAGACCTCTAAGTATTATTAATAGTATTGACAGATATATTCCTAAGTAATTGATTTTTATAGGGAATCTAGGTTTTGCTTGCCTGGCCTCCCACATTGCATTCTTCCTACTCTTTTGCAGTATTGTGTCAGACTTCTGGGCACCCTGTTTTCTCATACTTAGCAGGGCCTGTGCCATCTTGTGGGGTTTTTTTTTGTACCAGGAATTGAACTTGGGACCTTGCGCTTGCGAGGCAGGTGGTAGAACCACTGAGCTGTTTTTTTTTAAAATCTCTGGCCCTATTTTTATTTTTTATTTTTATTTTTATCTAATAAAAGAGATTATAATTTATTAACCTTACAGTATCCTTTTTTTTTTGGTACCGGGGATTGAACTTGGGTCCTTGAGTTTGTGCAACAGGCGGGAAACTACTGAGCTAAATCCCTGGCCCCAGTATCTTTTTTTTTTTTTTTTTTTTTTTACTGTTTTGTGAATTTAGCTTATTTGGAAACAAGTTTTTTTGTATTTTGGTTATTTTTTTGAGATAAAGTCTTGCTATGTAGTTCAGCCTGGCCTTGAATTCAATTCACTATGTAGCCCAGGCTGGCCTCAAACTCACAGCAATCCTCCTATCTCAGTCTTGCAAATGCTGGATTATAAGCATGCACCATCATGTCTGGCTGGAAACAAGTGTTTTATAACTTTCAGGTAATCTTTTTTTTTTTTTAAATAAATTTTTTTCCATTCCCCCTTTTAAGCCTCCTCCCCTCTTATATACAAAAGCTTTGTTTCCATTTTTGCCTTCTGTTTTCACTTTTTTTCTTGTACCTTCTTTCCTTTATCTCTCCCTCCTCCCTTGTTCCCCTTCCCATTTGAACACTTTCTTCCCATTTCCCAGTGTCCATTATAAGGTAATCATTGTGTAATATAAATAGAGCATCTTAGCTGGGCATGCTGGTGCATATGGCTGTAATCCCAATACTCTGGGGCCTAAGACAGGAGTTGGGGGCCAGCCTGGGGTATATAGTGAGTTTAAGACCAACATGGACAACATGACAAGACCCTGTCTCAAAAAGCCAGTAGATAGATAGATATATAGAGCATCTTGATTTCTAAACTCTGGAGATGTGTAGTAATGAAACTTTTTATATTCACAGGGTATGGAATTTTTTGATGAAAAACTGAATTCCTTATGTATGGCTTGGCTTGTGGACCATGGTGAGTAGATAAACAGATTATTATTGAAGGCCAAAGTTTTTGCCTATATCCCATGATGTTCATTTTGTTTCAGAAAAGAATCCCGATCTGACCATATATTTTGCCTTAACAGTATAGGGATGAACAAAAGCTTTGATTAAATTACATTTATCCTGGGCCAGGGATTTAGCTCAGTGGTGCAACACCTGCCTTGCAAGCGCAAGGTCCTGAGTTCGATTCCCTGGTACCAAAAATAACATTTATCTTTCTTTGAGTATAAAACTGACATTTCTGCATTTTGTCAATTTTGTGTGTCTGTTTGTGGTACTTGGCATTGAACCCAGGGCCTTGGCACTGAGGTTGTAGTCCTACCCTCTGGCCCCTTTTTGTTTTGTTTTGAGACAGGGTCTCACTAAATTGCTGAGTGCCCAAGGTGGGCTTGAACTTGAGATCTTTCTGCCCCAGCCTGCAACCTGCAGGCTGAGATTACATACCTTTTCCACCATGCCCAACTGTTTTTCTCTTTCTTGTTTATTTTTTTCATTAAATAAATAATCTCTTTGTTTTGTTTCTTATTTACTGTATTACCTGATCTTCAGATTCTTTTATGTACTTCTTTCTTATCCCAGGGTTTTCCACTTGCCATAGTGCCATTGGTGTGTTCAGTAACTTTAAACTAGGAATAGACAGGGATTGAAATAAAATGAAAGGCTTGCCTGGATGGGAAGAAATAGCAAGTTGGTTTTTCTGAGGTGACATGTAGAGAAGGAGGTGTAGAGTGGGGCAGTACAATACAGGATTCTTAGGAGTGGGAGACATCAGCTATGCCTTGGGATAAAGAAGGTTTGGATGTCTGGTTTTGGTGAAAGAAAAGGTTACTGCTTGCTCTCTGTCTACTGCTACTGCTGCTGCTACTACAATACTAGGAGAAGGTGACCTCAGGCCAGGTAAGACGATAGGAATGAGCAGATGACTTGATGAGATCTCAAGTAAGATGTATAATGTGTATATTCTTCTGTCTGCCAGACAGCAGTGGGTACAAGATGTATACTCAGCTAGGTCCCAGGACCAGACTTGGAAGCATGGCCTTAGATCTGTTCTAGTGAGTTTCCTGTTTGTTCCATGTTTTAGTGGATTTGACAAGCATCCTGTTTCAGTTCCGCAGTATTCTATGTATACGTTATATATGTATTGAGTATATCTCTGTTCATTTGTGGGTGCTCATGCCTGGGTAATTGGGAAGAATGAAGATGCTTGTGTCTGCTTATGTAGGTGATTTTGTTAAAAGCATATTTGAGGGCCGGGGATTTAGCTCAATGGTTCTGTCACCTGCCTCGCAAGCAGAAGGACCCAAGTTTGATCCCCAGTACCAAAAAAAAAAAAGCATATTTGAGAGCTGAGTTTAGTGTGGACACCTATAATCCCAGTACTCTGGAAAGTTCAGACAGGATGGCAAGTTCAAGCCCAGCCTGGGTAATTCCCTGACTTAGCCAAGACCCTGTCTCAAAATAAATACAAAAAAGCTGGGCATAGAGGCACATGTGTATAATCCCAGCACTCAGGAGGATGAGGCAGGGAGATCATGGTGAGTTCCAGGCCATTTTGGCTACCTAGTAAGTTCACGGCCAGCTTGGACTACATAGAAGAGCCTGTCTCCAAAAGGAAAAAACAAAAGAGCTGGGGAGGGCTGGGGATTTAGCTTAGTGGTTCTGCCGCCTGCTTTGCAAGCATAAGGTCCAGAGTTTGATCCCCAGTACCAAAAAAAAAAAAAAAAAGACCTGGGAATATAGTTTCATGCAAAGGCCCAAGGTTCGGTCCCAGTAAACTTTTTCCCTCCCAAAATACACCCAAAGTATCATATGGGAGATCATAAGGTTAAGCCTGTGAAAAGTGAAAACTGTTACCATCTGTAAGGGCATATATATGGGTACTTCCAGTATTTCAAAGTAGATTGTGAAGACTATTTAGCTCCCCCCTTTTTTTTCTTTAAAGTTAATCTCTCCCCTACTACCCAGAATGATCTACAGATTCAATGTAATCTCTTTTTTTTCAATAAGCATGTAGATTTATTTAAAAAAGGTTATCTCTTCAAATCAAATAAAATTGGCAAATCATAGGAAAAAATTACTGTTTTCTTTAAAGGGGTGTTTACATTATTTTATTATTTTATTTACATTATTATATAAATATTGTTAGTGGGAATGGCATATCCCAGCAGATCATTCTGTTCTTGTGGAAAGCTGGAATTTTGGATTAACCTCTTACCATTCCAGTTATTTATTGAATGGTAACGGGATGACAAAAAATTGCATTTTTTTTCTTGTTGATTTTTATAAGGTAACAACAGGAAATATAAAAATTACAATTTTATCAAATTTATTCAGTGTCAGAATCAGTTGGTTGAAATGTCACCTCCCTGAGTGATGCTTGGCATAGTCTGTACGTAAATAAACTGCCCAAGTGACGCTTGGGGTAAACTATTAAGTGGTTAAGACAGTTTATTTTGAGGAACTTTTAAAGTTCTAATACACCACAAAGAATTAAATTTCTGACATCCATTGCTCTCTTTAAGCTACTTTAGTTACTACTTTCTCACTTCTGATGTTTTCTTCCAGTTTGAGAAGAGAAGAGACTCATTTTAATGTAGCAACATACCGAATAGGGACTGTAAGCATTCTTTTAACCAATGAAACGGCTATTTTGAAGTTGTTCGGTTAATAAATCAGGGATTTCTTGTTTTGCTTTTGCATTTTATTTTAGGATTTTTGCTGTGTTTTAAAATTTGAAGAAAAATGTTGCTTTTGAATTTTTTTAAGTGTTACATTGTGATTACTGATTTTTTGAGGAACATTTTCCCCTGGTTAATAGCTTGCTAACATGTACTAACGTCAAAGTTGGTGAGCATAGCGTTACTTAAGAAATCTTAAGAGACCAGCCAGACCTTGAGCGGTAGGGGAGAGAGACAGACAAAACAAGCAGAAAAAACAGGCAGGACTGTGAAATAGTTTGCATTTTTCTGACAGAATTGAGAGGAGCCAAGAAGATAGTAAATATCTAGCCCAGAAGAGTTCAGTACAGTTAAGGTCTTTGTCTTAAGCATGTGTGTGCTTGGTTGCTGGTTATTCTGACATTGGGAATCCCTTTCTATGGTAATGGCATTATGATGATAAGAATCTCAAATATATTAAAAAACAGTTAGAGGAAAAACACAAATGTCATAGTTCCATTTTAGAGGGAAGAGCCAGGCAGGGGTTTGGGCTTAAAGACTGTGTGATAGCCCCTGTACCAAAAAAAAAAAAAAAAAAAAAGACTGTGTGATAGGAAAGGATCTCTTTCTGGTAAAATGGATGACTTGAGCTTGCTTCTTAAAGAGTGCTTCTGGGTTATCTTAATGAGTTGGTACTCTCAGAGATTTTGACCATTTTTAAGCCTGGTAAGAAATTGTACTGTTGCTTGTTTATGCTCTTTGCTGTTTTCCTCAGTGTCATTGCCAAGAAGCATCAATGGATTGAAAAGAGTTGGGTATTTCCTGTCTGGAGGCTTGTTATAGTCTAGGCCAGTGATAGCAAATCTTTTAGAGCTTTCATAATACAAACAGCCCATGGCAGCACATGTGCCATAGGTTCGCTACCACTATCTAGGGTCAGGGCTGTGGCTTGGATACCTACCTGTTGCTGCAAATCCTTAAGGGTTGGGTCTGCTTGGAGAAAGAAGTAGAATAAGATGTTACTACCTGCCACCCTTGATTTGTTATCTAAACCCACATTTTGAGACTTTCTGGACCTGTAAAATGATGTAACACCAGGTGTGTTTTTATTCCTGGATGCATATAGCAACCAATTGTGAGAGGATAATAGCTTAGACCTTTGTGATCTAGATTTATGATATCTTAGATAAGTGGCTTTATAGGGAATGATTAGATGTTAAGGGAGTCACATTTATTTACTGAAGACATTTAACGTCTTGTCTCACCCTAAACATTTTTAATGGAAAAGAAGCAAGTTGGTGCTAAGTTTTTATTTGCTGGTGGGTAAATGACCACATTGTCCTCTACAGGATCTTCTTGACAGCTTTCTATTAGCTTTTTTTTTTTTCGGTACAGGGAATCGAACTCAGGACCTTGTGCTTAGATGGCAGGCAGCGGAACCACTGAGCTAAATCCCTGGCCCTTTCTCTTAGCTTTAAAAAACTCGTTACATCTCCTATCGAGTCTAAATTAACTTTTTTTTTTTTTTTTTGAGACAGGGTCTCACTATGTAGTTCAGGATCTCACTGTGTAGCCTAGGCTGGTCTTGAACTCATGGCGAACCTCCTGCCTCAGCCTCCGTGAGTGCTGGGATTACAGGTGTGTAGCACCACAACCTACTTAAATTTAACTTTCGGGGCTAGGGATTTAGCTCAGTGTTTCCACCAGCTGACTCTAAAGCGCAAGGACCTGAGTTCAATCCCTGGTACCCAAAAAAAAAGACAAAGTGCTTGGTGGTCTGGGCCCACCCTAACTAATTCCATAGTCTTATTGATTTAGGTTTTTTCTTTTGTGTGCCGAATTCTTTTTTTCCTCTCTTTGCAGGAATTCTTCCCCTTTCCCTCTACTTACTCAAATCCTCTCTGATCTTCATCATCCAGTGCAATACCTCTTTCCTAGACCACCTTGTTCATTCTTTCCTCATTTTTTTTTGGTACCCGGGATCGAATTTGGGACGTTGCACTTGGGAGACAGGTGGAGGAACCACTGAGCTAAATTCCCAGCCCCTCCCTTGTTCATTCTTTAAACTCAGTCTTCACAGTCTTTACTACACTGCTATGCTTCATTATACTTGGTCCTACACTTCTTGAAGTGCCTTAGCTCTCACTTCTCTGATAAGAGTACATAAAGTTTATGATCTTTTTTCTGGTACTGAGTGTTGAATCCAGGGCTTTGTGAATAATAGGCAAGTGGTCTACCACTGAGCTACATCCCCAGCCTGAGTATGTGATTTTTTTTTTTTTTGGTACCCGGGATTGAACTCAGGACCTTGGGCTTTCGAGGCAGGCGTGGTGCCACTGAGCTAAATCCCCTTCCCCTGAGTATGTGATCTTTGAGGGCAAGTATCTGATGTATTCTTTCTGTAACACATAGCACCTAATAGGTACTTATATTTGTTAGTTAATTGATGATATATAGAACAAAATCGTAACATCCCTTCTCCTTGCAAAAAGCATTTCAGAACTGTTAATAAAAAGTTAGTATAAACTGGCTGAACATTCTTGTCATTGTACTGTGAGTGTGTTTGGTCCATGTTTTATGTTGATATAAGTCAACTAGGTTATGCTTATGAAGAGTAAGTAGTATGCACATGTGTTCTTGACCTTTTCCGCAGTGTATGCCATCCGAGAAGCTGCCACCAACAACCTCATGAAATTAGTTCAGAAGTTTGGTACAGAGTGGGCTCAAACTACCATAGTTCCAAAAGTGTTGGTGATGGCAAATGATCCTAATTATTTGCATAGAATGACCACTTTGTTCTGCATTAATGTAAGTATTTCATAAGCTCAGGCATTAAAGCAAGAATTTCTGAATTCTGAAATATACTGTCTTCTATTTGGAATATATTTTTATGCTGATTAATTTGGAATATAAGAGATAAGAGAGAATGTTGATTTTAAAATTTGTTAAAATTTTCGTAATATTTTAAAAGTTGAAATGTAGTTGTGAATTCTGATCTAGTTCTCTGATTTTTGAATGCTTCCTATGTACCTCTAAATTTTAGCTGCTCAAACTAGAAACTGTTTCCTGTTGGTCAATTGCTTTCTTATTAAATATTATTTTGTCTTGCTAGATTTCAGAATTTTAAAAAAAGTGTTTTAAATGTGCCATCTTATTTATTTTTCTAGGCACTGTCTGAAGCCTGTGGTCAGGAAATAACCGCTAAGCAAATGCTACCCATCGTATTAAAAATGGCAGGAGACCAAGTAGCAAATGTTCGTTTCAATGTGGCTAAATCTCTTCAAAAAATTGGGCCTCTTCTTGACACTGAGTAAGATTTTAGTGTTACTCTTGTTTTATACTTGATCTTAGCCAAAAGGCCGAGAAGCGATGTTATTCTTGTTTTAAAAGTGTATTATAGGGCCGGGGATTTAGCTCAGTGGCACTGTGCCTGCCTGGCAAGCACAAGGTCCTGAGTTCCATCCCCAATACCCCCTCCAAAAAAGTGTGTTTTAACTTTGATCTTATTGGAGGGAATAATAGCTAAAATTAAGGTCAGTGATTCTCACTTTACATGAATACAGGTTAAAAAAACTTTAGCAGCCATTTTTGAGGATGTCCACCCTTTAATATTTAAACTCTGTATATGTGTGGATTATTGTCTGAAGATAATTTTGCTAACGACTTTAGAAAATATTTAGTGTATTTACCAAGTTTATAAGTATTTAAAAGTATTTTTTATTTTAACCTTTAAAAGTTACCATAGAGCCTACAGATAATATCATAGAGCATATGTATCATAAGAGATTTATCTGGCACACGACACTGCTTTTCACAAATAATACTTTTGAATTCTAGTGCTTTGCAGGGGAAAGTTAAGCCGGTACTGCAAAAGTTAGGTCAAGATGAAGACATGGATGTCAAATATTTTGCGCAGGAAGCTATAAGTGGTATGTATTTCTGTTTCTGCCTTGAAGCTTTTTTAAATAGGGGGATTCGTCTGTGTTGTGGGAATAGTGGGGAGTGGGGTCAGGGTGATAAGCACGAGGGGAAATGGGGAGTGGTAAATTCCTGGAATGCTGGATTTCCTCTGTGGTTAGAAACTTCTTGATCTACCACTCTGTCCTATGTGACCAAAGCCATTTTTTCAGTTCCATGTCTAAGACTGGGAACGATTATGGTTCTTATTGGCCAAGTAGTTTTACTTTGGACTTTAGTTTTTAAAGTTTAGGTGTTGATTAGCCTGGCAGAATAAAGAAACTGATCATAATGAAAAGATCTTGGTCTTACGCATTTGGATCATTGTTACATGTTTAATGTTCATGTAGATCTATCATTCATGAATTTTCTGTACCACTAACCTGATTTTGTTTGGAATTTTCCAGTTCTTGCATTGGCATAATGAGGAACATGAGGGAGAAGCCTTTACTAAATTCTTATCACAGATTTCTAGTCAATGTTTTCTTAAATCGGGTGCAGAGAAAATGGGAAACCTTCAAGACCGCATCCAAGCAAATGGCAACAACTTAAAGTAAAATTTTACTGACATGACTCTTTCTAAAGATGGAGCAGGATTGTTTTTCTTTACTCGTATCTGTTGGCATAATTATTTAAGCCATTCTTATTGACCAATTCCTGATACTTGGTACAGTCATTTCCTGATTGTCTCCCTATGTTTTTCTAGCACCATCTGGGCTCTTAAATTCTCACTGTTGTGTCCAGTCAGGTGCCAGCTGCTTAATATTCCAGATAAGCCTGGATGGTTTGGACTGGTAAATGAAGTGGAATGATTCTCTTACTGTGTACATATATCTGTGTGCCTCTCCATCATTGCAAAATTAAAGGTACATAGTTTAGAGTAACTTATTCTATAAACTCTCTACTTGGGAGATACATTGAGAAATGACTAGTGAAAGCCATTTTCCTAGATTAAGATGGAATGCGTTAGTATCTCACATGAACTGGGAACATGAAAGCTCAGGATTAATGTGTTGGTTACCTTCATTTTTTTATTTACTTAGTTGTGCCTCTAATCATGTCATTGAGAAGCCAAAAGTATGGATGTATGTTGCAGCTAGCATGTTATGTTGAAATTTAACACTGTGACTGCCTTCAAAAATTCTTCTAAGAAACTTTAACTTTCATTTCTCCTAATAAGCAGAAGTTTTACTGTTTCATTATAAGATTGCAGTTTTGTCTTTTGTTGTTTTTTTTTTTGGTACCGGGGATCAAACTCAGGACCCTGAGCTTGCAAGGCAGGCGCCGGAACCATTGAGCTAAATCCCCAGCCCCAGTTTTGTCTTTTGAATGAGTATAGGAACCACTGGTATAATATTGTGTGGATTTCCTAGTCTTTACCTGACTCTGCTTCCAGCAGATTAGCATTTATCCTTGCTACCTTATACAGTATTTTTCCAAACTTAAGTTTCATTGCTAATTTTTTGGTGTGGGTAATACTAGAATCTTACTTAAAATGTTTGATTTTTGGGGGCTGGGGATTTAGCTCAGTGGTTCTGCCACCTGCCCGGCAAGCTCAAGGACCTGAGTTCGATCCTTGGTACCAAAAAAAAAGTTTGATTTTTACTTTTACTGTAAAATCTCATTAATTTCTTTTGAAATTTAAGATACTGGGTTAAGCCAAAGGGTTTGCTGAAGCAAATTAATAGTATGTAAGGAAAACTGAACTACAGTTCCAGTGCTCCTTTTAGAAAGCACCCATTTACCTGTTGACATGGCAGTTACCAATCACTCTTCAGTTGTATCACACACTGCCTTTGAAGATGTATGTCTAAGGGGTTGTATATGTTTTTGTTGGTTTGGGGATGGAGTTTTAAAATTTTCTTTGCTCCCTATTGGGAGCCACCTTCCTGCCCTATTAAGGGGAGACAGCCATTACTTTCTCAGTCATGGGCCGTAGAATCAGAAAGGCCTCTGTCTTTTTCAGTGATTCTTTAAGGGACTTCATTATTTCCTTCTGACTTAAACTATAGGAAATCCCTTTTGTTATTGTTCAGAAGAATTTTTCTTTGGTTCATAACTTAACCATTTTCTCAGGTTTTTTTTTTTGAGACATGGCCTCACTATGTTGCTCAGGCTGGTCTCAGACACCTGGACTCCGGTAAATTTTTCTTTGTAGCCTTTTCAAGTACTGTTCCTGCAAGCAGTGCACCAGCCTGCTTGGCCACTGATTATTCTTTTTTTTCCCCTCAGTACTTGTGATTGAACCCAGGGCCTTAATGCTGAGCTAGATTCCCAGCCTTTATTTTTTTATTTTGAGGCAGAGTCTCAGTAAGTTGCCCATGCTGGGGTTGAACTTGCATTTGTCTTGCCTCAGCCTCCCAAAGTGCTGAGATTACAGGTGTGCACCATCATACCCAGTTCAATGTTTTTCCTGTCTTGATTTCACTAAAGTATAAGCTTCAGGGGTTCTGAGGGCAAGAATTTTTGTTTTGTTTTGTCTTCTGTATTATCAGTGCCTAGTTTGGTGTCAGGAGCTCAATAAAAATGTGTTCAATGAATTTATTTCTAAAATCTGTCATCTCGTGTTGTATGCATGGAACAGTCATCAAAGGTACCAGACTTATCTCAGTCTCTCATTGACACAAAGATTTTTCTTCTCTTAGGAAACAAACTTTATGTGGCCCTTCTCCAGTCCCTCAGCTCAGGGAACAATTCCTTTTGTATTTGTCCGATTGTCTCAAACATACATTGCTATTGTTTATCATTCTAGACAGTTTATATCTATCTGGCTTATTAAGAAAGTGAAGCTGGGCCAGGGATTTAGCTCAGTGGTTCTGGCGCCTGCCTTGAAAGCGCAAGGTCCCGAGTTCGATCCCCTTTGCCAAAAAAAAAAAAAGAAAAAAAAGAAAGTGAAGCTAAGATGTACAATGTATGACAATAAAAATGTCTTTATCAGTAATGGAATTTCACCTTAGTGTTTCTATCATTTGTGTGGGGTTTAAACCTCATGGGCTTAAGAGATCAGATCTTGTTTCTCAGTGCGGCCAAGGAGATATGAACCCGAAGATGTGTCTTGTTTTATAAGAATAACAGATTAACGTGTGGTATCAAAAGAGGCCTTATTGAAATAAAAGGCACCCTTCAGCTCATGGAAATAACCAGTTTGGCTGCTGTGAGTCAGAACCTTGGGGGTTCTTTGCTGGACAACTTGTTCTGGCTCGACAGAGGCAGCAGCTTGACCTTTGAGTCGTCTTGTCCAAGCTCCAAGATGCTCACACAGACCTCCATGGGAAACAGACATGTCATTTCTAACCCAGTGGTTGCTTGTTGCAGTGTTGTTCCTTTATTAACTGCTGTGTTGTCAATGAGCTGAAAGATAGTTCAGTATTTTTCTTGTGAAATTACATTGGTCCCATCCTCCCACGGGTGGCAGGGCAGGGTGGTCAAATAAGTTGGATGCTTGTCCTTTCCTCTTCCTTTTTTAAAAACCCTTAGACACTTCTCTCTTTCTTTTGGTAGTCTTAAAGCCTGGATATGAAAGCACAGAGGACAAGGCCCTATCACTTAGTATTCTTGGTTAACAGATGTGACTGTCAACTTCTATGATTGTTTTCCATTGCTCTCTAGTGTTTTGTTTGCATCCAGTTACGTGCTCCTTTCCCCCATTCCCTCCCATGTCTCCAGTCCACTTCTGTACCTAGAGTAGTTTCACTATTCCCCATTTGCCTCCACAGGGCTGCTGTTTCCAGGAAATTACATAATGTTCAGTTGAGATGGAAATCTGGAGGATGAAGAGTATAATTACTCACTGGGTAGAAATGCCAAGTCCTGCTTCATCCAGAATAGTTCTCTTAAACTGTTATCATCAGTTCTGAAAGGAGCTAGGTCTTTGGTTTGTTCTGGGCTTTGTAGGCTGTCAGTGACCAACATTTGGGGAATCCCTAAGCTGGCACCCTAAGGCACATATGGGATAGTCCTTTTGAGGACTCCTGAGTCAAGTTGTGGAGTGAGCTGGCTCTCTGTGTAGAGCCTATGCCCCGGTAGGTTGCTGGGCTCCCATTCCCATGCTGGAGGAGCAGAGGGCATCCTGACTGAGAAGCACAGGTGGGTTAGAGAGGGACATGCTGTGGTCAGAGACAGTTCAGTGCTGCTGTCTATCTCTAGTGGTGGCACAAAGACTGAGGAAGCTAGATTTTCCTGTGAAGGACAGTGAAGAACATCGTGCCCCTGGGCCTGACAAGAACCACTTTCTGAGACCTGGAATGCTTGGAGAGGACACGGGGAAGGTAAGAGCCCCAGAAATCTAGGGCTAGAGTCCTGCACCCTCAGGGCTGAGGCAGCCAGTGTGGCCTGGTGTCACAAGGAGTTGCAGCAAGATGGGCAAAGAGAGCACTTCCTACTCTGTCCAGGGAAGACAGCTGGTTTTAAGACCGAGGAAAGTTAGCTTTTAAAGCCTCTTCTGTTTTACTTTTTTTGCTCTGAGAATGCTTTGTGGGATGAGAGTGGGGTTTGCTGTCCACAGCTTTGTCCCTGCAACCTGAAGTCTATCCAGGCTCCTCTCTCCCAGTCAGACAGGCCCATCCATGTAGAGGACTAAAGGGCTGACCAATGAAGGGTTATTGTAGAAATGGGCTGTTTCCAGTATTTCTCTGTTAAAAAGTTATTTGCCACCGTTGTTAGTCATTTCATTCAAGATAGAAATTTTGCTTGCAGTTTTTCTGTATGCCAATCTGAATATTTCACAAACCCCATTTGATGACACTGCATGGAAAAGGGGTACAAAAATTCCAGTTCAGCAGAGTTGGTGGCGGCCACGGCCTCAAGGCCATTCAGAAGAAGGGCAATTTATGTCTTAGAAGTACATTCAGAATAGGAGCACTGAGGGGATTGGTCATCTGGTGCTATCAGGCTACATTCAGGTTATTGGGAAAAATTTGGCAGTCTCTTGATGAAAATTTGAACATAATGAAATTTGCCTTTTGTTTAGCCAGGCATCAAAGTGCACACACCTCTGATCCCAATTACTCAGGATGAGGGAGGATCGCTAGTTCAAGTTCAGAGCCAGCTTGGGCCTCTTAGATCTTGTCTCAAAAAAAAAAAAAAAGGCTGGAGATGTAGCAGCTCAGTGGTAGAGTATGTCCCTAGCTTGTGTGAAACTCTGAATTGCTGATCCCTAGTGCTGTAAACAAGAGTCCCAAAAAACAAATACCTGCTTTTCCTGTTCTGAAGGTCCTGAACACAGAATCTGTTAACTCAGTGTTTTTGCCTGCTTCTAGATGGAGGACTTGGCATTTCTGTGGTGCTGCATACTGTTGTCCCTGAGCCTTTGCTGCCAGGCATCTATGGTTCAGGTGGCCCTAGGCCTTCTGCAATGGCTACAAGGCAGGAGGAAGTGCTAGATGACTGCTGCTCATAGCCTAAGTGGCCCCCCTTAACCAATAGATGTCTGGGATGGCCAGATCTTTGGGTTCTTTTGTCTGGTTTCTAGAACTTGGCCCTAGGGAAGAGACCATAGCTGAAGGAGCGAGAACAACTTTATTTATTTATTTATTGCCTAAACCCCAGACTTTTTTTTGGTACTGGGGATCAAACTCCGGACCTTGTGCTTGTGAGGCAAGCGCCGGAACCACTGAGCTAAATTCCTGGCCCAACCCCAGACTTTTTAAGGAAGAAAGCAGTTGTTTTCCTGCAAATTCAGGAGCATCTGGCCATGCTGTTAAGCTCACAGTATCAGTCTGATCTGAGTGCTGATCATTGAGGTGCCACCTCCCACGGCTGACTCACTCAGCCTGAACAAGCTCAGAGGATGAGGATGGCACTAGCTGTCATTCCTTGAGCCTCAGCAACTATAGCACCTTCATCAAGTCTCATTGAATCCTCACAAGCTGGGCAGTAGGTGTCATTTCTGTGTCAGGTGGTCCTGAACCAGCTGTGTTAGGCCTCTGAGGCTGCATTTCATTCCTCCCAGAAAAATCAGGGAGCCTTCCCTGCATTTGTTTCATTTAAGGAAAATGACCAGAGGGTGAGATGGAAAGGGAATTGGCTATTGCCCGGCAGAGTCCTGTGTGTGAAGGGCCAGCAGCCAAGTGAGTGATCCAGGAAGTCATCGAATTGGAAATCTGAAATTATTCTTAGCTTACTATTTGTGCTGCACAGCAAACTCAAGCTGGTGGAGTGAGTGAGTATTCAAGTGTGGCAAGCCCTGGGAACTGTCCTCAATTCTTGGTCAGCTTTAGAGCCCTGAGGGAGCCATCTAACACTCAGAGCTGTGCCTGCTGCTTGGTCTGGGAGAGAGCAGCTGAAGGGTGAGAACAAGTTCTTGGTGAAGGAGCCTCCTTGGTGCCTTGGAGATGAACTCTGGAAGCCGGAAGAGAGCCCCTGTGTACTACATGCATCCTCCTCATGCAGGAACTTCAGGGAGCAAAGGCTACTTCCCACACACTGCCACCCCTAGGTTAGCCCAGCTACTCCTGGAAGGTTTGCAGGCAGCTGACAACAGAGCTGTTGATAGGCCTGTCAGGTGAGGGTTAACAAGGGATTTGTTTATTGAATCACCAAGTAGCTGTCACATGATTTTAATCAAAACACCATTTCCCTGACAACAGTGATGTCAGTCTTGTTATTGCAGGAAGGAGCAGCTGTGAGGGACGTTCAGTCTCCATGCCGAGCCCAGGTTTGGAGACTCAAATCAAGTGAAGCATCCATAAATAGTGGTTGCAAGATGCTGGCTTACAGGATCTACCCTCTTTCTTTTCTGTCTGCACAGTTTGTCCTGTACAGACACCAGAACCTAGTCCTGATACCCTGAGCCTCAGTTAAGGCTGCACCTTCTGCATCCCTTGCTTCATCTACCTTTAGATCCACTGCTTTTTTTTTCCTTCTCCTGTTTACTGTGTTTCCCCTAAATTCAGAGTTACTTGGGCCTGGCCTTTGCCTTCTGGCATCTCTGGCCTTTGCCTTCTGGCATCTTTTCTCTGGGATCTAAACCAGCACTTGATGGTGAAGAAGCTGTGCTGGCTACTCTGAGGTGGGAGCCATTCTGCTCCTCAGGAATGTGACTCATCCCTCAGGTTGGTGGGGAATAGGTGCTTCCTGAGGGTGTCAAGGTCAATGCTGAGGAGCCCTGCTGTGAATGACTGAAGGGTAGGCTTACAAGGGTCTGCCTTGGCCAGAGGATTAATTCTCTTCAACCCAGAAGACGGTAGGAGGCCTGAGTCCAGAGAACTGACAACAAAGACCAAAGCCTTGGGATGCTTGATCTCATCTCTCGAGATCCTCCAGCTAAAGGACTTTGATCCCAAAGGCCACAAAGAGGTCAGAAGTAGGCTGGTCACAGGGTCAGCTGGAGCATTTTTCTTGTACTTCAGTCTCATCGTGGGGACTTTGAGACTGAGGAGCTGTCTGTACAGAAGACACCAAGCATTCTAACCCCTCTCTAACCAAGAGCTTGACCTAAAAAGTTGGATGCAAAAGGCCTTTCATATGGTCTTATGTTTGTGGTGCTCATGGCTGATGCTGCCCAGAACTCATCTCTGAAAATTCAGAAATCCTAGAGAAAAGTTCGTGGTTCTTAATATGGAGCAAGTATTCAGAATAAAGCAGCCACTTTTAAATCTGTGAGAAGAGAGTTCTCAGTCATATTTTCTAGTCTAGTGCTAGGGTAGATTGAGGGAGAGGGTTTGTGTTGGAGTCCTAGGTTCTTTCACACCATGCCAGTCTGTGTCGAACCTTACAATAAACCTGCAGTTGTCAGCCAGTTTTCCCAAGTTACTGTTGGAAATGAGCTTTACAATGATTTACCTGGTTAGTAGCAGAGCTGGGAGTAGTGCCAGGGGCTGAGAACGTGGTCAGCCTCCTGGGCTACCCGTGGCAGAACGGGTAGGCACCAACCTGTCTGGAGTACCTTTCTGGGTGCGTGGCTGCCCTGGGATGGCGTTGCAAGCAAGGCCCTGTTCTTTCCCCACTTTGCTTCTTGCTTAGCTTTTCATCCCTGGGACCTCTCCTGCCTGCTTTTCTGACCCTCACTGCTGGTACAAGAACTCTCTGCTAAACAATGGAGCTATGTGTGGTCTCATTCTAATAATGGGCTTGAATTCTTTCATGTTGATTTGATATTTTAAAAAATATACAAAATCCTTAGGCTTAAGTGACATTTCATTTCTACCTTAGAAAAGTGATAATGATTAATAAGAGTTTAATAATTTTGATGGAGATAGTTAAAAAAAAGACACAGAGCTTCTCTGGTGACCTAAAGTACTTCCCAGTGGGTCCCAGAATGAAGAATAGGTCCTCTGCATTGTGTCCTAGACTGAAGAACTTAGGGTCCTTTATATTGTGCACTCTGAGGAAAGGCATAGGTGTTTTTTTCAGATTGGTTGTGTCCTATCCTATCACCATCTTGGGTGGCAGGGCAGCCTTGGAGTTAGTTACACAGTTCTCAGGCCCTCTTTTGGGCCTCTCAGGCTCCATTATTCCATGTTTGGGGAATAGTGAGGAGGAAGATTAAGTCAGAAACTTCAAAGCTATCTAAGGAGAGAGGTAACTTAGTTCTCCCTTCAAAAGGCTGCATCCCTAATGCCTCATTTTCTCTGGGCCCAAATTTTCTGGATTTTCTGCCCAACTAGCTCGGGCTCAGCTCCAGGGGAAGCCCACTCCTAATGTGTGCGGTCTTCCCTCTTCTCTTTCAGGCACCTTGCCTGTTTTACCCAGGCTTGGAACCTCTCCTTTCCAATGTCAGGCCTGTTTGATTAGTCATCCTTAGGAAAGCCCCACAGACACACAAAGGGAGGCATTGATGCAGCCGAAGGACTTTCGCAACTGTAGGTGTAGAGGAATTCAGCCCCATTGGTGGGTTGGGATATCACAAACAGAAGTTTCCCTAAACAGAACAGTGGCTGGGGAGACACAGCAAGGTCCTCATTCTGCCCAACCTCAGATTTGCCCTGATTTGTGGTCCTAGCTTCATAGCTGGGTGGAGATAGGAGTGCCAATGATGGCTCCATGCCGAAAGTGAGGGTCCATCCTCTTAGTTCAGCCAAGCCTGTCTGTTTCCTCACACACTATCCTATATATTCTGAACAGTTCCTTACCCTTTCAAGGCACTGGCAGGAGCCAAAATGAGGGGCAGAACTGTGTTCTCATCAGCCCCTAGGGTACAGCAGCTATGGTCTGTGCAGGTATTTCCTTTGTAGCTCCAAAGCACTCAAGACTCAGTGCACAGAGCCCAGAACTGCCTCCATGGTATTGGGCTGCAGAAAGAGGAGGAGGCTCTTCCTTATCTGGATTCACTGGGGGAAAGATGAGAACTCCCTCAACAGAAAGGGTTCCTGTAAGACCTTGTACTCAAAAGCATACAGGCTGTCAGGAGTTCTTACCCTCTGTTCATGGGTGGCCCTCAGGGGATCCAGGAACCAACCCTTCTCTGGAAACTGAATTCCATGTATGTGTCTATGAAGGTGTTTTGGGAAGAGTCCAAAGATATTTCAGCATATCAAAGGGACCTGTGATCTCTCAAGTACTGGAGAGTAGAAAAGACCAGCTCAACAAGAACAGAAACTTGGATGTGTTCACATGGGGCCTGGCTTGCTGATGGACACCAGAAATGTGGGCATTGTGGGCTCATTCTATCTCTGATACCCTCTTCTCCTCACAGAGCCTTTGCTCTCAAAGGCCACATAAGTGAAGGATGTCCTGAGAATTGTGAGCATTAGGGATCTGACTGGCTGCTGAGATTTTCTGCTGTCCACAGGCAAGTCTGTTGTGTTGTCTGTACCCTGGGGGACTGTGACAACAAATTAAAATGGAGAGATTTGATGGAAAGAGGAGAGTTTGTAAAACATAGTTACTGAGGGAGTGTGGGGAGAAAAGGAACCTCAGTGATAGTGAATTCTCAACCATGCGCTAAGAGCTGTGTGGCGGCAGGAACAAGCACCCATGAGTGGTGCCATAGCACTGCAGTACAGAATCTTGGAACAGCTCCACTCTTCTGTCCCTGCACAGCAGGGCCAGATGTGGCCTGCAGCAGCCCTATAGGCCCAACCACGGCCAGCTGATGGTTCCTCAATTTAGGAACTGTCTTGAGTTCCATGGCATGGACCTACGGGAATGGGCTGAGCAAAATAAATCTCAGTTGAACTCTCTGCAAGAAAGTAGGATTTAATCTTGTCCTTACACTCAGGGTTTGGCACTATGAAGAGTCCAGAATGAATAACAGCTTGGCAAACAGATTCTCCAGCACCCTGAGGGCTTGGGAGTTGGGTCTCAAAGGATACCTGTGAGGAGTCCATGGTGTGTGTGTATGTGTGTGTGTGCTGCTCACACAGTGTCTTTGGCAGAGCCCAGAGAAGAGGTGACATCTTGATCAGGTAGCAGTGTCTTTAGCTGGTCTTTCTGACAGCTGAGAGCACCTCCTCTCTCCATCTTACCCTGGTCTGCAGCTTGCCTATTTTGAGGGAGCTGGACATGATTCCTGTGCGGCCTGCTTTCCTACCATGGCAGAAGGACCTTGCCCAGACTCCCGAGGCTGACAGGCTTGTCCCTGAGACTCTTTAAGACCAAGGAGAATTAATTAAGCCCAGTGGGGCCCTGTCCATGTGCAGGCTGTGGTCAGCCGTGCTTCCGTCAGCAATCTGCAGCGGCTAACATGTACTCAGGCGATTCAGGGCAAGGTATTATTTACCCCGCTGACGTCAATGAGAACATATTATCCACTGTCCTTTTCTGCAGCCTGAAATGTGCACCAGAGCTCAGAGAACACAGCTACCTTCCACACTTTAAAAATTCTACCCAAGGCCCAATAAGGTAGAGGCCCTATCACTTCAGCCTGACATTCATATCACCCAGACTTTTAGAAAACAAGTTGTTTTTATTTTAATTCAAGAGGGTTGGGAACATAAAAAATCCGTACATTTTCCTTGCAGAAAATTACCCCATGTAAATTACTGTTTGGTATAAAGATCATTTATTAAATTGCATTTTAGGCAATTTTCTAACATTGACAAGTTACATTTTGATTCTTTTTCTTCACACTGGAGCGATGATGATTTGCATTCAAAATAACAAAGCTATTGAACTCACCAATTTTTTTAGTAATTAAAGCACACAAAAATAACTACAGTTAATCTTATCAAAAGTAACTCAGACCAAACATCCAGCAAGACCACTCTTCTCCCTTCAGAAATAAGCAAATAATCTTGCCCTTTCTACAAAGTGCAAATATCTGTCACTTTTTACTTCTTAAATTGCAGTCTCCAAAGAGAAGTCAATCTTCTCTCTCTGCTGCTTTCCCCTCCAGAGATTTTGGGGAAGGCAGATTTACCATCAGTAATGAGACGGTCTTACCATTTGAATTTCTTTGAGCAAATCTTGAACAGATAAGGAATCACACTGCCAGCAGAAGTCTCAGTTAACTGTTTGCTAATTATTCCATCTGGGGTCATATTTTTCCTGGATGTTTTGTACTTTAATTTTTATCCCCATCCCACCATTCCGCCTACCCACTTTGACTCTGAAAAGACAAAGTATTCAATAAAAGCATGTTAACTATTTTTTCTTTAATCCTAAACATGTCTAATAAGTACTCCTTGATGGGACTTAATTGTAGGGAAATGTTACATCCCTCCTCAGGATCAAGGCTGAGTTTGTGATTCTTCTTTGAGCAGCCCCTTCCTTGGGTTTGAATCTGTTGACCTGCATTGGTGGCTGATGCTGGACTATTCTGCCCCTTAGTAATCAAGGCAGGTGTGCCTTTCCATCATATACTTCCCAAGGAAATGACTGTATCACTTGGAAAAAATGGGCATCTTTGATATGAGCCTAAACTTTTGCAGTTTACTTAGCACTGAGAGGATGGCTAGTCTAGAGTTTGTGTCTCCCTCAGCCTTGTCCAATGCAGGCTACCTGGAAGGCTGCCATTGTCACCTGAAGGGCACCTCTCAAAGCCAGACAGCTGTCAAGTGGAGAGTGCAGCTGTGGAAACAGTGTTATACTTACCCCATGCTTGACCACAATGCAGGCTTTCTTTACATAACTATTTGCTTATGAAAAGAATCAGGTGCTATTGAGAGGAAAGAGGCTTCTCACAGCCTTAGAAACCAGTCAACCCAAGCGTGTGGCCTGTGAGCTCTGTGACCTCAGATACATCACATATATAATCCAAGAGCTTTGGTTTCCTCAGCTTTGAAAAACAAGGACAGTACCTCTCCCTACCTTCACAGAATTGTGAGGCTTATAAGAGATTACTTGTGAAAGTGCTTGGTAAGTTATTGTAAAAATAGAAGCTACTGCTCCTTTTAGACAGGCAAGGTGAATAGTGTTTGGGCAGGAACCATCAAAACTATCACAGGTTGAGTCTCTGGGCAGTGCTGCTGGCTGTGTCTCAATCTGTGCAATAGTATGTGCCTAAATTTGCCAAATGTGCTGAAATCTGCCCAGATAAGATGTGGTTGTAAATGGTGGTATAACTAGGATGGCTGGGTGGTCTTCTAGAGTTGGTCAGACTACTTTAATTGGGGAAAAAAATTGTAAAACAAATATGTGAGGGGCTACTGGGAAATCAGGCTGTGGGGCTGAAACAGGCCTTGACAGGCATTGCCTTAGTCAGGTTTTGCCATCTCCAAGGGCCAACAGAGCTCTGTGTTATCAGTCACTTGCCTGGGCCACAGACAGTACCTGTGGAAAGGGACATATAAATGTATTTTGGTTTTTTTTTTTTTTTGGTACCGGGGATCGAACTCTGGTCCTTGCGCTTGCGAGGCAGACGACGGAACCACTGGGCTAAATGGGACATATAAATGTAAAAAAATGTTTTTTGTCCAGTTTGTAAGCACAGACAGATGATACTTCTCTTGTCTTCCACAAATTACTCTAAAGATAATTTCTGTAAAACGTTTCCAGAAAGAACAAAATGACCAAAGACCCATGCTTAAATAATTATTCTAACTTATTACCTGTTCTCCAGTTTTTATCTTTGATGTCTAGGCAGCACAAAGAGACTGAGAGGCTTGCCTGGCTTCTGAGGGGACAGTAGAGCCAGCCCAGCTTAGGGGCACAAATGCAGCCAAGGTCAGTGCTAGCCAGATTCCCCAACTGTTCACAGGGATCAGTGCTGTCAAGTGATACTAGGAAGTGTCTCTGAAAGAGGAGGAATGTGAAAAAGTTACCTGGAGTATGAATTTTCTTTAACCCAATGGGGAGCTTAAGTGTAACTATTGACATAGGTTTGTAAATGTAATCCAGACCAGAAAAATTCTGATCCCAGTATATTTGGGAAATGGGCTTGGGTAGAGATTGGAGAACCTGGCAAAGGAGGCACTACGTCCCTATTTCTTATGTGCACATAAGCCGAGGCTGTTCCTATACTGACACACTTGGGACTCTGACCTGTTACCTGAAGCTGCTGCTTTCCACCACCTTTCAGCTGCTACCTTGTCACCTAATCACTTTCCAGCTTAGACTTAATGCCCTTTCCCCCAGTTCTGACAACTAGGCAGAGGTCCTTACGAGTGTCCCTGCGTTAAGTACAGTGACATCCCCAGAGCTTGGCAGGAGGTGGGAGAGTTCACCTTGTTATTTGAGGGGCTGGGGGCAGGGCAGAGGAGGGATACTGCACAGTATCCCCCCTTTGCCCACAACTCAAGTCATGAGAGATGACTTCATTTCCACCCCTCTGATACCAGGGCACAGTTTAAATACTGAGGAGTTCTTGATTTCTGAGGAAGAAAGACTTCTAGGAGGCAAAGTATGACCCAAAGAAGGTTTTGTTCTCTAACAGTCCTTCAGTCCCCAGCTCTAGTCCTCCTGGTGGGGCCTGTAGTCTCCTATTCAGTAGATTCTGGAGAGTTGTTGGTGTCGGGAACCATCCACTTCCCTGTTCCCAAGGTGGCAAGAGGGCAGTACAGGCCTAGTTAGGGCAAAGGTGGGATCGGGGCAGCTCTCGGGAATCAATGTTGTGCTAAGTGCTTTATTTGCTTTACAGGGACTGGCATTTTGGTTGCATGTAAAATACTGGAGACACATTTGCCAAACTGGAAATTGCAGAACTAGTGCATTTTCCCCAAAGCAAAGACCAATACCCCTGGATTAAAAAAAAAAAATCGGGCTGGGGATTTAGCTCAGTGGTTTTGCCGCCTGCTGCGCAAGTGCAAGGACCCGAGGTTCGACCCCCAGTACCAAAAAAAAAAAAAAAACGTACCACACATATTGCACTTTTAGCCAAATGAAATTTTTACCTCATGTTCATCTCACCAAAGTCTCTTCCAAGGAGCCTGGCTGACAAGATAATAAAGCTAATGATTATTATACAGTAGTGTACACACTGCTGATGTGAATGAGACTGATGAGTAAGTCAGCATTTTATTTATTTATTTTTTTGGTACCGGGGATGGAACTCTGGTCCTTGCACTTGGGAGTCAAGCAGCGGAACCACTGAGCTAAATCCCCAGCCCGTAAGTCAGTATTTTAAAGTAGCCTCTCATCAGAAGAGTGGTCCTAAGCCTTCTTAGTGTTGCTTCAGTATTTGTGAAGTGAAAACTGCTCAGAAGTCTCCAAGGGTCACTAGTGAACAGAGTAACAGAGGCAGTCAGACAACAAATACCTCACTGATCAGCAGAACCAGTCTCTGCTTACCAGCTTACATTTCAGGAAATATACATTGCTATGGAATTTATTATTAGTTTCTGCTTGAGGTAAGTGAGAGAAGCAAACAGGAGCTTACAATAGATGTTCCAGCTGGAAGGGCCATACTCTTCATTGGTGACCATCCACACCACTGCTGTTGGTGCCTAACAGGCAGGCTTGCTGCTCGATGCTTCTCAACTTCTCTCTGGGTCCTTTTGTGTTCCAACAGCCTCTCCATTATCCCTCATCTGGCTCCTGTCCTGCCATAGCTCCTAGCTAGGTCACCTGGGCTAAGTGCTCATGGCCCCACTGGGGGACAGGAGTTTATGCCAATCTGTCACTGTGCCATTTCTCCAATCCTGAAATGAGTGGCTCCCATTTTCAATCTGGAACACACTTTAACTTCGTCAGTATTAGAGTGCTTCTGTAGTATATTTTGGGAAAATATATAATATATATTTGGGAAAACATCCTCCTTCAGTCTGAACACATTAAACCTTGGTTTATTTGCTTTTTTTTTGCACTGGGGATTGAACTCAGGATCTTGTGCTTCAAACCTTGTTTTATAACTGGCTTCTTTTGCAGAGACTTAGATTAGAGATCTTAATGATCTCTTAAATGATGTTCTCTATTTGAAAAAAATCATTAAGCATGAGGAGGAATAAACAACCCATAAAAAGAATATAAGTTATTCTTCCTGGATTTTCAATGTTATTAAATCACAAAATGACGCCCCCACCCCACCACCCTTTCCTGCTGACACCCAAAGCCCAACTTTGAGCAGAGCGCCTCTTGTGATGAACTTGGCAACCTTGGAGGGGAGCCCAACGCTGAGGCAGTCTCTGGCCAGCCACAAACACTGTTCAAATCCCCAGTACTGGCAGGGGCTGGGATGGGTCTCAGATGTCCCTGCTTCCCTCACCTGCTTGGGTGCTGACTACAAAGAGGAAAGGCAACTGAAAGGTGTTTCTAGATGCAGCATCAGTGTAGTAGCTCTCTTCTTTGTGCTTTAAGGAAGACGCTCTGTGCTTAATGCAATCATCTGCTGATAGGACAAGCCACTCTAAAGGACAAAAATTATAGTTTTTATAAATAATACTGAATTTGTAACATCCAGATGTCACTGTCCAAATACCAAATTACTCATTATTTCTAGGTGCACAGTTAACTAGCTTTAGCATCTATTTTTCAGTTACTTTGACAAATGAATTTTAAGGGTCAAGTTTTTCTAGAAATATAACATGTTTGGCAGATCTGCTTAAATGGTTAACACATCTGTAGTTCTTTGAATATTGCTCTTAATACTTGAACATTTCATTACAAATCAAAACTAAGAAAATTAAGAATGCTGATTTCCACATGGTGGAAAACAAACTGAAGTGACTTTGGATTTAGCATTGACATAAATGGAGAACTGGTTTCTACAGAAAAGAAAGCATGATTGGGGTTAGGAGAAGGCACAGCACTATCACTTCACATGAGACATAAAAGTTCATTTTTTGTGTCCTTAAAATTTCTAAGCCCTATATGAAACTGTTCAAATATACAAAGCTCAATAAACTATTAGCAACATACAGTATAAAGTCAAAGGAATTATTATACTACAGAAGAAACAAGAGGTCATCCTCTGGAGACCGACCGCCCTGGCTCGAAGTCTCCACACGAGACCATGCAGGGAGAGCTTGTCTTCCTGGCCCAGAGCTGGCACTCCTGATGCTTTCTCCAGTTTCTTGCCCCCAGCTTCCGCTGTGGTGGGTCCTGTCAAAGCTATGGAGCCCTGAGTATATTCTGACACTCAGTAACCCAGGGGCACCTTGTGAAGAGGTGTGCCACCTGTTCCCAGATAGAGATGAATGAAGGTTTCAGGGGCTAGTACCAGCTATTAGTTGGTGGCCCCTGAAACAGCTCATGCTCTACAGCTTCATGACAGTCTCAGGGACAACTTGCATCAGTAGCATAGAACTCATGATTCAAAGATAAAGCACAACTGTCCTTTATATCCTGTGCATCACATTTCATTATGAATTCTTGATTTGCCTTGAAGCAACGTTGTTGCTTTGCTTCAGTGAAAATATATTGCCTTTTTGTTTTTGCCATACATGCATATGTGTGTGTGTGTGTGTGTGTGTGTGTGTGTGTGTGTGTGTGTATGTATGTATATGCAATGGCACTGTCCAGCTTTCACCAGGCTTTCCCTCAATAATGAAATGCTGTAATTCTTCATAAAATCTAGGACTGGATGTTGTCTTATAAAATATATTGCCTTTTTGTTTTTGCCATACATGCATGTATGTGTGTGTGTGTGTGTGTGTGTGTGTGTGTGTGTGTGTGTATATGTATGTATATGCAATGGCACTGTCCAGCTTTCACCAGGCTTTCCCTCAATAATGAAATGCTGTAATTCTTCATAAAATCTAGGACTGGATGTTGTCTTATAAAAACATTTGTTTCTGCCTCCCTGGAGAGCTTGCTCCATTTTTACCAAAGGGCATGAGCTTCAGCCTACAACTATGTTCCAGCACTTGCTACAGAAAACTTTGAGTGGGGCAGAGCCAGGAGGAAGCACATCCACCCCAGCTATGACCTCTGATTCCAGTTGGGTGGCTTGATTTTTCCTCATTAGGAAGAAAGCAAGAAAATAAGCTTTAAATTTAAAAGGCTGAAATAAAAATAGAAATACAGTCTGTCTTCACTAGATTGACCTCACTTCCTGTGTTGAGATTAATTCACCAGGACATACCCATTGTGTTGTGGATCCACAGCGTCTAGCATTTCACAATCAAAGAGTCCCGGTAACTCAGAGAGGGCTAGTGGGTCATAGCTGGAGGGGGCCTCCTGTAGTCCTGAGCTCCTGGGACAATCCAGGCCTGTGAGATTGCTCTGCTGGGCTCCATCCACGGGATACTGACAAGGAGCGGGATAGTCTGGTGCGGAGGAAGCGGCACTTGGCAGTTCACAAGTCTGATAGGAGAACTGTAAGGGGGCGGGAGCAGCTCCTGGCTGTTGTGGTGGTGGAGGAGGTGGTGGGGGTGGTGGCTGCTGTTGCAGCTGTGTGGGCAGCGGAGGAGGTGCCCGGGGACTGGGTGTGGAGGGCAGGGGCTGCAGCTGCATCTCCTCGTACTGGTCGAGGAAAGGGCTGTATTGCATTTGCTCAGAAGAAGGCTCCAGGACGGGGCTCAGGGGCTGGGTCAGGCCGAATGGTGGGGGCTGCTGAGATGAAGGTGGAGTCTCCTGGTGGGGTAGGGGTAGCTGCTGACTCGGTGGATAGGAGCTCTCAGCTATCTGCATCTGATTGAAATACGCCTGCAGCTGGGACTGCTTCTGGAGGAAGAGTCGCTTCTGCTGGAGCCTACATTGGCAATACCAAAGGAGAATGTTTTAAATCTCAAGCAATGACAGTTTTAATGTAAATCCAATACCAGGCATTAGCTCCTGGCTGCCACTTCTCTCTTTCCCACGCAAGGGAAAAAAGGTGGGATAGGTTGGGTTTCTGAAACCTAATTTCACTTTCTGCCCTCTAATTCTCACTGATCCCTCAATGCTAAGTGAGCACAAATGCCTCTTCTCTGTATTGCTGAGTTTGTCTCCTTATTAAGGGAAAGGCTGATTTCTCATCTGGATTGGTCAGAGGGCCTTGGCCCTCTGTGGGTATCTGGAGGTTGATGGTTTAGGATAATCCTACCCTGGCCACATTGCTTCTAGTGAGGCTTGTGGGCATGGACAGTGCAAGAGAGGAGGCCTTCTTAGCACTCCAACCCACTTTATCTGCTGTAGGCCAGTGACTCTGAAAGCTTAGGTCTAGTCATATCCCAAAGGACCAACTACTAGAAAACAAGGGAAACGCACATTAGGATGCTGCCTGACAGCCCATACTGCATGGATGCTGGAAACTTTGAATATTATGGCACATTCACCGATGTTCCCAGTTGAGCAAATACGAATGGGAAAGGGTAATACACCCGGCATTCTTAAGGGTTCTGTGAAAGTAAGCAACTTCATTGGCCAAAGACCCCCTCTAACCTGTGTTCCTGTAGCTGCTGTTCCAGGCTCCGTGGTGGCTCTTTACAATAAAGCTGACAGGTGTTCTGGGCCTTTGATAGAAGGCTAGGTTTCTGGAAGAGCACAGAAACAATATAAACATGACAATAATATTGTCACCCAGGATGCAGTTATCAGACTATGCTTCTGTCTGGAAGGTGAATCCAAGGGTGTCCTGCAGAATCCACACAAGGTGAAGTGACTAAAATTTCTCAATGAGATTCCAGAAGGACATCAGATCAGCCATCTGGGGCAGTCTCAGTTCTGATCTACTTGTTTTCTACTACTAAAAATCCTCTAGGACTGTGAGGTTCATGGAAATTAAAAACAGTGATGGGCCGTGGATTTAGCTCAGTAGTTTTGCCACCTGCTGCGCAAGCGCAAGGACCCGAGTTCCATCCCCGGTACGAAAAAAAAAACACCCCAAAAAACCAATGAGAAAAAACAGGCTTAAATCCTAATAGTGCTGGTGTCAGCACATGTTCAAAGAAGAATGGTTTATTCTTTTTTTTTTGGTACCAGGGATCAAACTCAGGACCTTGCACTTGCGAGGCAGGCGGTGGAACCACTGAGCTAAATCCCCGGCCCAAAAATTCCAATGGTTTATTCTTAATAGGATTTTTCTCAAGATTTTCATGCACCAGTGTAGGGCCGGGGATTTAGCTCGGTGGTTCTGCCACATGCCTCATGAACCAGTGTAGATAGCTCAAGTTAACACTTTGCAGACTTAAGATTTCCATTATTCATTTAAGAAGGATAAAATGAGAAACAAGGAAGCCAGATCTCCCTTTTCTCTCTCAGTGGCATATCCTTTCAAAGGCCCAAAGACCAGTCCTTTCCTAGGCCCAATACAGAGCATAAGGTTAAGTCTGAACATATTTTGAGAAGTAAGTATAGAGTCAGACCTCCTTGTCTATAGGAGTAAAGCAGCTACCCTAAGTACACACCAAGAACACAGCCTTCGTCTTTGAGAGTGGAAGATTCTGGATGGACAAAGTGAGCTGGACTAACACGAAGGACCCTACCTGAAGCCTATGCTGCAGGTACTGAGATTCCAGGCTTTGCCGCTGGGAAAGCTGAGGATGTACGCTGCTAGAGAGAGTGGAGACACTTTCCTGCGGCCGAGGAACTTCTTCCTGAGAAGCAAGGGAGTGGAAACAATTTTTCAGTTTTCCATGTGGGAAAGTTTCAAGTCTTAGTTTAAGCACCTTTATTAATGACGAAGAGGAATCTCAACTCTTTAAGACATAATATTCAGTTTTTACATATTTAGTAGATGAAAAGTTAATTACTTTGCAGAGAATTTATACATGTTTTATCTGTACTCGACAATTACCTAGTCAAGATTAGAACAAAGGTTTCTGGTGTTTCCAGGAGGCCATCACCTTCACAGGGGCTATAAACAGTACAACTATCCTCAATGCATCGAAGAGTCTCAACATTTATTGGCTAAACAGCAATGTTTATTGTATTTTTGGTATGAACAATCCACTTATAATATTTAATAAAGTGATTGCACATCAAAAGTAACAGTAAAAGAAGTCAAGAAACTTCTCATTTGAGTCGTTTATTGTTCTTCATTTGTGTGTGTGCCTGGGGGAGGGTCAAAGGAGAGTACAAAGTCATTCATACACAGCCCTGTGAACCAATGCTAGTTTGCACACATCTAAGCCTCCAGCTGATACTGACCACCTGGAGCAGTGTGGCTGGGCCTGAGTGTCAGTAGCAGCCACAGGGAAAGCTTTTAGGCTGTGGTCCTTAGGTGCTTGTCCAGGACTTGAGGAGGTCCTCTACATGCAAAGCACTTACTTTCTGGAAAAACTCATGCTTTACACTCTCACAGCCACGGTAGGAAGAGCCCATGCACCCACCTGAGGGCAACTGCTAGTGAGGTCTTGGAGCTGAGGGGAAGCTGATGTCAAGGCAGGGTTGGCTTCTGATCCTATTTGTTCATACAGCAACTGCACTTTGTTCAACTCCAGAATTCCTTTGGTTCTAGCAAGGTTCTGAAGATGTTGTCTAAATGCTACAATTCCTGAGAGAAAGTAGAAAGGCCAAATAGTTTAAGCGAAATAGTTTCAGTAATCACAGGTGCACACCAACATGGCTATAATCCTCTTTCCTCCTTCCCATTCCCCACTACCAAAAGGGAGAGGAGAAAGCATTTACCTTGGGTGAGGGAGGTATCTGATGCCCTGCGGCCTTCTCTGAAGCTCACCGGTGACCTATTGTGGACCTCTCGTTTCTGAGAGCTCAGAGCCTGCATGGTTGGGTTGGTAGGTCTCAGGCTTATGAAGGGTGATGTCATGTGGGGTGAGGGCTGATTGGCTAACATGATATCCTTAAGGGAAGGGTTGTCTTCCAGAAAGTTCAGTTCCCTCTGAGCAGACCCCATGTCATACTCAGAGTCCACACTGTCAAGGGAGGGGTTGTCACTCATGGAGAAAATTTTCCCTTTAAGAGAAAACAAAACAATTGCCATCATCTGTGAACACAGGCTACAAAGCATAATGAGCTATAATCTTGATAGCAGCAACGTCCTTAATCTCCAATTAAAACATCCTTTCAAGTGATGCACACCTGTAGTCCCAGCTACTTGAGAGGCTGAGGCATAAGGATTGCATGAGGCCAGAGTTTAGACCAGCTTGGACAATATGGTGAAATCCTGTCTCAACAAACCTCCCCCCGCAAACCCCAAAATCAAAAACATCTTTTTTAGAACTGGAGTAGAATGGTTGCCTAGCATGTGCGATCCCTGGGTTCAATCCCTAGCACAGGGAAAAACAAAAACCCAAACTCCATCCTTTTCAGGTCAATTTAATCATCTTCCAATGTAGTGAGGAAAACCCTCCAGAAAGTGCAACTGTAAAATCTCGGTTGCTTCTGCTTCAAAAAAGCCAGGGTCCCCAAGGAAGCACATAGCATCACAATGAATCCTAGAAGGAAAGGCGCCAACTCAGAGACTTCATTTTAATCTCTGTTAGCTGTTAAGCAGGCCCAATCTACAGCCTGTTGAATAAGATACAGGCTAAATTCCAGGAACTGGTATCACTACTACTTCTTAGTGACTAGGGCATGAGATGATACTGTGAAGATTTTTTTTGGTTTTTTTTAAGACAGGGTCTCGCTATGTAGCCCAGGCTGGCCTCGAACTCTTGGTGATCATGCTTCCCCAGCTTCCCGAGTGCTAGGATTACAAGTGTACACCATTGTGCCTGGCTCATGCTGTAAAGATTTAACCTGGCGCTTCTCCAATATCATACCTGCTCCTGGCACCACGACCAGTTGGTTGGTCACTTCTGATAGAGTGTGCCGTCTCTGCCCACTGCGCGTGGACTGAAACACCTCAAAGGCATGGCTGGGGTCTTCTTCAGCTTCTCCTTCTGTCTCTAGCCCTTCATCAATGGAGGTCTCCATCATGTTACTGGGCAGTGACTGGCATCCCTTCCTCACCAGGACAGGAGGCACAGGGTCAAGCAGACAGCCATTCACCTAAAAATGGTATGTGTGTGAGATAATGCAATGAGTTGCTTATCTGCTAAGACATTAGAAAAACCCACAAAGAAGAAAAGGCCAAGACTTGTAGTAAATTAAAATTTAGTAAAATATTAAAAGTGTACACCTCAATGTCTAATGGAAACACACAGATTAGAAGTCAAGTCAACTGCAGCTCTTAGATAGAGGCCCATTATGACCCAAATTGGCACTGCCACCCTGGTTTTTCTGAGTCATCATTATTATAATAAACAATATTTTTAGTGGTTTCCAGATGAACAACAGTATATTAGCTTGAGGCCTACAGTTTTTTGTGTTTTTTTTATTAAGAGAAATGAAGAAGAGGGAAGATGAAACTTTTTTTCTGCTCAGTTACATGGCTCATAGATAGGAGACAATAGTAGTCACCAGAATTCTTGAAAATTTCAACCACAAAACACACTGGAAGGTTCCAGACATACTTTTATGCTTATAATTTAAGTACCTGCCCATTTGAGTTAGTCTTTAATTGGTTCTGTGTGCATGAAGAATGGAAATTAAGAATCCAAAGATTGACTGATACCACAAGAAAAGTTAAAAAAAAATGCAAATGGCAAACAGCCAAAGCCTTCCATTATAGAATAACAAATGACTCACAGGCCCAAAATTCCAGCAGAGGTTAATAAGCCCTGGCGCATGGCATTCCTTCTGTTCCAGCAGTACACACATCAGCTATGGTTCCTATCCCACAGGGATGAGCTCAGCACAGGTTCTGCGTGAGCATTGCTTTCTCAGGCAGCTGCTAAGCAAACCACCTCATGGCAGGCAGAAACACCACACAAAGGGGAGTTGCGGTTTCGAGTTCTTCTGACTGGTAAAAGCTCCAAAGAGGAGGCAATTATTTAGCTCATTACCTTAACTATTCCCCTGTGGAAATCAATCCTTTTTCTCCCATGAATAGCTGCGCAGGAATAGCCAGCACAGGAACCTCAGTTATAGGCAGTACTTTCACCTGAAATACACTGGGTAGAGCTATTGTTTCCTCTGGAAGCAGGAGCAGTTCATGTATGTGAGAGGTGACGTGGGACATTCCTGTGCCAGGCACAGGAAACTTTCCTCTTATGGCAACCATCTGAAGGCTGCAGGGCTCTTTATTTGGAGATGGAAAGTTGGGTGACTCAGATCTTTGTTTGCTTGGGGGAGGGGGTTCTAATTCTCTAAAAATTGTTCTGGGGCCAGAGCCATGACTTGGATAAGGTGGCTGATGCATAACAGGTTTTAAAGTGAGGAGCAGCCACTTCAAAGGAAGAGTGGTACATGGTTTCTTCCCTGAACAGAACCAGAACTTACACTTCTAGGCTCCTTAACTGTCTGTTACTATAATTTTCTAAAGACCAGCCAAAGATAATTTAGAAATGAATAAAGCAACAGAGAAAATAATGTTATTATCTACTAAGCATCTTCACAGCCTCCATCAAAATTTTAAGACATTACAGACAGTTTTTGTAGTATAAACCATATAAGCTAGTGCTTTTTTTCCTTAAGAGAAAAATCACCTTTTTCCGAGTCATTACAAATACAATGCCAGTCCTTCTGGATTTACATTTACTTAAATTTGCACCTTATATATTTATCTCATTAATACTAGAAGAAGAATTCTTTCATTTAAAAATGTCTTCTGAATTCAATTTCATCCTGGTGCAAATAGAAAACCATGATCTGATTTTTTTCATTGACCTGACTATTCATCCTGAGACAGCTAGAAGACTGTGACTAGAAGCTTTGTTTGATGATGAGTAAGAAATCCCCCTGACAGCCAGGGATTTAGCTCAGTGGTTTTGCTGCCTGCCTCGAAAGTGCAAGGTCCTGAGTTCGATCTCCGGTACCAAAAACAAAAAACAAAAAAGAAATCCCCCTGGGCTGGGTCACAGTTAACAGGTGTGAACACCTTCAGCCATGAGTTCAGGTTTCCGGAGCAGCTGATCATCATTCCAGCTTTGCCTGCCAGTTTACCCAAGGACTCGCTATAATAGGAGCCTAAACTCATCTCTAGGATTTCATGACTGAAATACTTGGTTGATCTATCTAAAGAGTGACCTAAACTTCCAGAAATAAGATCTTTTTGCTCTAGGAAATAATCTAGGATGATATAAATTATATAATTTAAAAATACAATGTAGGTGAAATGTATACTTTCAAATACATTGTTTTTGTCTTTCCTTAAAGCTCAATCACTTCTAAGAGACCTCAAATATAATACACAGTATACAGGTAGGAGCCAAACCTTCAGAGCTGCCAGCACTCACTGAGAAAGCCCCCGAGTTGACCACAAGCTCCTAGCACAGGAGACTGGCAGAACACTATGAACTGAACATTTGTGTTCTCCCGCAATTCTTATGTTGACTGGACCACCAGAAAAAAATAAAAGAAAGAAAATAACAAGAAAATTTCTCCTTCAAAGCCCTAGAGGTTAGTGCTTATGATACTACTAAGAGTTTGACAAATTTCCTTTCAGACCTTCTCTTATATCTATACTACCTTTATAATAAAAAGTTATTAGAGTGTAAGTGGGCATGAAAGACTTCTGTTGCTTTTGCATTTTCATAGATTAATGTCATAGTTCTCTTCTGCTATCATCTATGAAGATGTTAACTTGGAGAATTCTTTTTATTATAGTCTAATAAAATGTTAAAATATCATGTGTGTGTGAAATCCATTATTTACAAAAAAGCAGTCAAGGAAGGAAGATTTGCTTTCCAGAGTTTATATATCTGCCCACCCACATGGTCTCTGTGTCACCTGTGGGTCTCAGGTACTATTCAGATGCACATTCTTACTCAGAGACAGGTGACTTTCTCAGAAAGGTGCTAGTTTTAAAATACAGAAGTCTCCAACCAAAGTTTCAATTTGGATCTCCTATGGAATTTTTACTGACAGTTTTAAGAATGAAAGACTTTTGAGAGGGAAGGAAAGGTAAGCTCTTTTTGAAATATACAATTCTTATCCATGATTGATAGCACAAGTGAAATTAGAAATACATGCAGCTATGAAACATCTTTTAAAAACAAAGGAGTGTTACAGTAAATGTATATGAAGCAACATGAACAAAAGGAACTGTACTTCAGTGGGTTTTTGTGTGTGCATTTATTTATGAGCACCATAGAAAGAGGGAAGGAAGACAAGCATTTTTGCTGAGATAAATGAAATGATCACAATAAGACCAGGGGTGTTTATGACCTGGCTAAGTAAGTGTCAGGGTGGCACTGCCAGTGTGGGTGACCAGTTCCAGCGTGGCACTGTTCTTCCTACAAATGCAAATATACCATCTAGCTACTGTCTGTATCTTTCACAAAAATCATTGATTTCCTGTCTGTTTCCTAGTTACTGTAACAATCACAAGCTTTAAAAATAGTTTGCCCTATATAATACAGCAGACAGTGCCCAATCTGTGTTTTGGGCCTGGTGCCCTCACATACAAGACTTTGGCAGACTGCATTTTAATTTTCTTGAGAGAATTAGATCTTCAAAATAAATGAATTATGTTGCCTTTATTTATGTCTAAATTTCTGAGCAAGACTGTAACAGTAATTTGTAAGGTTAACAGGCTAAGTAATCCCCAACAGAGAAAACAGACTGTCCACAGGAAGTGAATTTGTCTTGGGAAGGCGTTAGACACTTAACCTACTCCTCTTCAGCAACTCAGACGAACACCTGCTGTAGAGCTGCCTGTCCTGGTTGTGCTTCTGCTAAACTAAGATTTCACTTCTGAATCTCCTTGACCCCTAGAGTTCCTCATTTCTGAAACTGACACTCACTCTCCCAATCATCTAGGCCCCAAATCTTGGACACACAGCTCCTATTACCCTTGTCCCCAGGCTCTCCACATCCTGTGCATGCTAGGGAACCACATGGGCTAATTTTCTGAAGCACAGCACACATATTGTGCATCTTTGTTAGAAAATCTTCAGTTGTCTCCTGCTACCCTAACACCTGTCACTCTTGAATTGTTTCAGCCGACATTTAAACACATGCCCACGTTGACAGCAACCACCTAGAGAACAGTCCAAACTGCTTGACTTGCCATTTAAACCAGCTCTATTTCATGCACCTTGCCTTCATCTGCCCTTTTCTTCAAACTGAACAACTGCTCTGGTTTAGAAGGACCTAGAATTTCCTTAAGTTTGAATTTGCTCAGGCTTTTCTATCCACTGAAGATTTCGCCTATTTTCAACTACCTCAGTTCTATCCACTTCTCCATTCTCTGCTCTGACAGTTAAGACCTTCCTGATCAAACAGTAAAAACCATTCCCCCCTACCCCACCCTTCCATGCCTAGCCCCACTTTGATTTATGGCTCCTTATGGGACCAATCATATTTTATGTTATTAATTTATTCCACATCTAGCATACTGTCTTTAATTATGTATAATTCTCCTTCTGCAGACTGTGAGGCATTGTTTGTGTCTGATTCATCTTTTTAGTACCCAGAGAGGATAAAAAGACAGGAAACAAATACTGAATATCTAAAATCTGTCCCTAACCTCATATGCATTATAATTAATCCTCACAAGTCTCATACAGTTGGTATTCTCATTTCACACAAGAGAAAACTGATGTTCACAGAGGGTGGTCACCTGCTCAAGTTCACACAGCTTTGGGAGAGCAGAGTTTCAGCAAACCCTAAGACCCACATTCTTCTGTGACACTCTGCTACCCACAGAGAGGTCCTTCTGTGTAACACTTGATGCTAAGTATATATAACACATACTAGGTTGTAAGTAAGTATCCACTGAATGAGAGCTGTCATCTTCTATAATCCTAAAAGCCAACTTTGTGGAATACAATTAAAATAACTCCTTAGAGCATGTCCAAATAGGATACACAAAAGATATTTAGTTGACCAAAAAGATAGCCTATCATTTTGTACCTACAGTATTCTCAGAAGTCAATAATAACAAATACAAAGCCCAATTTAGTGCAACAGGTAACATTTTTGTTTTCACAGTTACACTTTATATAAAAAAAGGCAAACCCTTGCACTTATAAGGGGCTAGAAACTTGAAGAGAGTTAAGAAAGGAGAAAGAAGAGGGCTTTTGAAAAGCACATATGAGGTCTGACAAATTATTTACATAACTGTTGTAAGAATAAAACATTGGTAAGAGTTTAGTTCTGGGCCCTTTTCTTAAATTCTTTTCCACAAAAACAACATTCCTGACTTGAGGAAATAGTAGAATTCAACAAAGCCACAGCACAAAACTTGTGGATTGAACTGGCCACATTGCAAACTCTGTCTCTCTCATACACATCCATCTGTACCTTTGGAGTGTCAACACACTCTTCTTCCATAAATGCGGCTTCTGCCTGACAGCTGGATGCTGGAAATGAAAAGGCCTCCACATTGGATGCCTGTGGGAGGAGGGTAGATCGGATCAGTCTCATGTTTGGTGAATGCATGGTCACTGGGAGTCCCACAGTTTGTGCCTGCAAATATGGCAAGAACAGAGCATGGAAGCATTAGTAATTTTTCTATAATACTAACAAGAGTTTTTAGAGTAAAATAATTCTTTCTGGGGCAATTAAAAGACAGTTATTTATTGGAAACTCCAGAAAAGATGTGATGAGATACATATAAGGTACAGGTACTGATCTGATGCAGTCTCAGCAATCAAGATAGTTTGAAATAGGTTGTAGACAATTTTGTTCATAGCCCATGATGAGAGGCGTAACTTTCACACAGGTGACAAGCAAGTCACTGTAAGAATGTACTTTATCTCAACAAACATATCATGTTTTTCTTTAAACATATTACCTGGAAAGATGTAAAGAGGAACTGAAAATTCCCTGCCTATAGAAGCGCAATTCTGAGCTGGGACAGATGGATATACACCCACACCTGTACAACTAGCTACAAAACTAGGCACAATGAAGTAACTATATGCTCTCTCTCTGAGGGGTGAGATGGTGTCTATTTCTTGGTAAGGGTGTGTATGAAGAACAAAAGAGCAACAACAATTACTTGAAGGACAGGACCGTCCTTCCTTTGAGGAGATGCACAGCTTGAACACCGCCTTCTGGCCCAGTGGAAGGAGAGATGCTTACTGATGCATAAGTTATGTTCCTGAAGTAAACCTACTATAGAAAGCTCCAGATGGGTTTAAGTTCACTGTCCTGTCTCCTTTGTTGGCTACTCTAAATAAGCATTACCAACTCTTCTTTAAAAAAGTCATTTAAGGGCTGGGGATTTAGCTCAGTGGTGCCACATCTGCCTCACAAGTGCAAGGACCTGAGTTCGATCCTCAGTACTGCCAAAAAAAAAAAAAAATTTTAAAAGAGAAACCTTCTTATGAATTGGCAAGGATTGAGTTTTCATGATGAAGCTGCTGTATGATCCTTTTATCCTCAATCCTTCAAAACTAGAAGAATAATTTATTAGATGTGTTTTGAATGTAACAGACATTGAAAATAATCTGAGGGAACAATCATCCTACTACATTTTTCCTGCTATAGTCACTTGAAGGGATAGGGGATGATGAGTTTTAAATATAAACATACAAAAGGGGAAAAATGGTATAAAATTCTAGTTTCCCAAGACCTGAGTTTGATTTCTGATTCCATCACTTACTAAGTGTGTGATCTTAATCAGGTTACCTAACTTCTCTGACTCTTATTTTGCTCACCTGTAAGAAAGAGCATCGAGGACTGGGGATAGAGCACTTGCCTAGCATGCACAAGGGTCTAGGTTGATCCCAGAACTAAAAAAAAAAGTCATAATACCTACTTTATAGTGAAAATTGTAAAAGGTAACATGTAAAGTCCTTAACTGTTAATGCCTCTTTTTTTTCCCTGAAATCCTAACAAGAATATAGGAATTAGACCACAAGATGAATACTGTTTTACTCTCAGCTATTATTTAATGGTTCCCTGTAAGAATTTCAAGCTCATAGCAGTCATACCAAAACCAATGGGATATAATGAGAGCATTTCTCAGAGGGAAGTTTAGAGCTGTCAAAGTATATATAAAAAGAAAAGAATGAATCAAAGTAAGTACTCTAATGATGCATCTCAAGGTCCTAGAAAGACAAGAAGAATCTAAATGTGAAACTCATAGGGGGAAAGAAATGATAGAGATTAGAGTGAAAATTAATGAAAATGAGACCAAAAAATAAAAAAGATCAATGAGTCAGAGATGGTGTTTTGAAAAGATGGGAAGGGATCTGGAATTGGGGGGAGACAACAGGGAGGGGAGAGTTAGGGGAAGTAAAAAGGATCAACATGCAATATGTGTATATCCAATACCCCCACAACGAATGTATTTACTATGCATTACAATCATATACTCATTAAAACTTGAGAAAAAAGAAAAAGATATAAAGTTTAAAAACTTAAAAGTTTATGGTTGTCAAGGTGAAGGATATGTTACTATTATACTTTAGAATCATATATATACACACACACACACACATTTGGTATACTCCAACATTAGTATTACTTGATATAACACATGAGATAAAGAATAAAATAAGAGGGCCAAAGATTTAGCTCAGTGGTTCTGCCACTTGCCCTGCAAGCACAAGGACCTGAGTTCGATCCCCGGTACCAAAAAAAAGAATAAAATAACAATAGCAAAATGTCAGCATTATATGGATGGTAAAAACAGAAAAAAACATACTGCACACTATTCTGAACATGATAAATAAACCACTTTTCCTCAGGCTTGCATACTGTTTTGCTTTTGAAGATAAATGCCTTTTTAAACACTTTGTCTTAATTTCGCCAGTCAGCATGTTACAATGTAAAATTCAAACTTCCTAATGAAATGCATTTGCTAAGCCCTCCTGCCCCCATCATTAGCTTTTCAAAGTAGAGAACTGAAATTTGACTTTTTTTGGGGGGTACTGAGGATTGAACTCAGGACCTTGTGGTTGCCAGGCAGGCGCAGTGCCACTGAGCTAAATCCCTGGCCCTGAAGTTTGACTTCTATTTCCCCAATTTACTAAAACTGCTCTTTTTCTATGAAAGTAGGGAAAGCATTACCCAAAGATAATGCACCATTAGTGAGATGGCGCATGTTAACTATGATGTGCTCCCCCTCTTCTCAGTCCTGTCTCTTACAAGCGCCAGTTAAATGTCAGGACTGTGCTGTGTCAGGCCAAATATAGCATCTCTTCCTTGACAACTTTTATATCCTACCTGGACTACAACAATAATTGACTATGAACTTGGTAAGGACAGAGGAATAACATTTGTTATGACACTTCCCAGGAAGTGGGTTTTATGAGTCTGTTTAATAGAAGTCTTGCCATCACTGAGTGGACTAATGAAGTCTTTCTGGGGCTAGGGATGCAGCTCAGTGATAGAGTGCTTGCAAAAACATGTGCAAGGCCTTAGTTCTGCCACAGGAAGTACACACTGCTATTTCCATTTTATACTTAAGGACACAGAAGCTCAGAAATGCTGATTTGAGTAGTCATTCATCTTAGTATGGAACTTAAGGTCTCATGATTCTACAATTCATGAGTCCTTTGTATGCGATCATATTGTTTCTTCAATTTATTACTGCTACATCAGTAACAAGTGGGATCTACCCCTTCTTTAAAAAAATCAGAACATCAAAGAATTAAAGCAAGAAGGCTGTATTAAAACTTTAAGCATAAACATAGACTCCACCAAAAAAAATATGTATACACACTTCAGGAAAAGAAAAACTTGTATGAGGTGCACATTCTCATGCTTTTAACACCTGCAGACTTTTATCTATGGGGGACCTTAAAGGATGTCATATTTTGCAGAAAACCCACTGCACTGCCGGCCCGTAAAGAAACTGAAAATGCACGTGCAGTAATCTTAATGACCAAGGTTACTCAAGCAGCAGTTTGCTGTAGTAATAAATGTCTGGAAGCTAATGGCCACTACTTTGAGCACCTCTTCTAATTTCAGAGGCCAAAGGTAACTTGTATTAATCTCATGATGCCTCAATACATTTAGTATTAAAATGTTTACACAAGTTTTTCCTGCAGTGTTTATACATTTTTGATAGACTCTGTATCTGTATCTATATCTATATCTCTCTCTATATATCCATAAACCATAGAAATCTATTTTTCACAAGTTCCACACTGAAATACAGAATGTGACTCCTAAAAGAAGGGAGCATTTTCTTTAGTCACAGTGCTGACTGCTTAGCCTCCAAAAGGCACACAAGACAAATGGGTTGATGTGTCCTGGAAGACACATGTGAAGTTATAGTAAATAGGTCTCTATTATGATTTGGGCCAATGCATAAAGTGAAAAGAACTCATAGGGTATTTGCAACAAAAACCAAAGTTAACAAATGTTAGGAAACCATGTTATATATCTGAACCTCAATCCAAGTTAGATACAGTTTGAGATATCCAAGGGAATCTGCTTGAAGCTGGAGGCAATCTGCTGAAAGTCTAGATAGGAAAGGATGTTGCATACAGTGACATATGCACATGTTCAGGAACAATGGTTTATGGACCCCTTGCCACTCTCTTGCGCATGTGATGTTTAAGAATAAAGAACCTGGGGCTGGGGATTTAGGTCAGTGATTCTGCTGCCTGCCTTGCAAATGCAAGGTCCTGAGTTCAATCCCTGGTACCAAAAATAAACAAACAAACAAAAAAAGAATAAAGAACCTGGCAGGGGGCTGGGGATTTAGCTCAGTGGCACCATGCCTGCCTGGAAAGTGCAAGGTCCTGAGTTTGACCCCCGGTACCCCCCCAAAATAAAATAAAATAAAATAAAATAAATAAAAAGAACCTGGCAGGGAAGCTTCCTACTGCACTGAGGTGCTCCTGTTTCCTACCCTACTGTCCTGCCATTTGCTAGTGGGAGGGAGCACTCCTCCTCTCACTACTACTACTCCAGCTTATGACTTCTCATTTTCTCTCCCTTTCTCTCTGCTTAAAAGCTATACAATTCAACTCTGAAGGTTCCCAAATGATCAGAGATACTCTGAACCAAATACCTGGAAGTAATAACATGTTACCTACATGTAGTAATATGTTATTTTACTCATGTTCATGTCATATCAATACTTTTTTTTTTTTTGGTACCAGGGATCGAACTCGGGTCCTTGCACTTGTACAGCAGGTGGTGAAACCACTGAGCTAAACCCCTGGCCCAATACACTTTTTTTTAACAGTACTGGGGATCGAACTCAGGAGCTTGTGCTTTCGAGGCAGGCACGCTGCCACTGAGCTAAATCCCTGGCCCTGTATCAATACATTTTTATATAAAATATATAAACAAAATATATAATTTTACATGCTCTGTAGAAGTCAATGCAAACTTTTCTTATAAGCCCATAAATTTTGTAAAATTGCAAAGAAATACAAAGTTAAGATTCTTCTGTTCTTAATTTTACTTTAAACAAAGAAAGTCGCTTGCAGAAGTGGACAGGAACCCTAATACAGCACAGAAACAAAGCACTTTTCTCAACTGCTACATAGGTGATTCCCCAGATCTCTCTAGCCCCAGCCTGTCTTTTGGGATCCAAGTCCAGGTCCACTGCCTATTAACTGAGTTAATGCTGTCTCTGTACCCTCAGGCCCAAGCTCCAGGACAGTCGTCTGTAACTCACTGTTGTCCCTTTTCCCCCAACAGTGATTTATTACTTTACATAACAGTCACTTACATAACCCTTACTATATGCCAGACAATGTTCTACATGTGTCACAAACATTAGCTAATTTTATTGTCATGACATTTTTAATATTATCTCCATTTTATACTTTGGAAACTTAGACACAGAACAAACTTAAGGAAAAAAAATTTTTTTTACAATACTGGGGATCAAACCCAGAGCCTTCCACATGCTAGTTGTCTACTACTAAGTTAGTCCTTTCTTCATTTTTTATTTTGAGACAGTGTTTTGGTACAGGCGTGTGCCACCATGCCTGGCTCTTAACAAACTTTCCTAATGTCACAGCAAGAAATGGGATTTGCTCCCATACTGGGATTTGCTCCAGTGTCTCCGCTTTTAACCACCATGTGGAGCTGCCTCTCCAAAGCATTGCTAAGTTCATACATGGTCTACACCTGAAATGGTCTTTATCCTTGCCCTTTTCTTTCTGTTTCTGCCAGCACAATATTAGTTTAAGTTGTAGTATTTCTCATCTCAATTACTACAATAATCTCCTAACTGGTCTCCAAATTTCTTCTCTTCCTTATTCAAACTACATTTTCAATGCTCTGAGATTAATAAGCTTAAAGAATGGATATAATTCTATCACTTTTCTGCTTAACAGCCATCAGCAGTTTTTTATTGCTTCCTAAATTATAAGTAAACTCTGCCTTGGCTTCCTGAGCTCTTCACAATATGGCTTCAACTTACTACTCCAACTTATTTGCTTATACTTTAATCCAAGTGGATTAATTGGAATGAACCTTACAATTGAGCACAAGTATTTCTGCTCATCTCATGCTGCTTATTCTGCCTGTCTATGGCTTCCAGTTCTGCCTCTCCCTAACAACTCCCACACCTCTGTGAAGTTCTGTCTTAAACACCACCTCTCCCATGAAGTCATTTCCACTCAGATGTGCCTGTTTCGTCTTAACTATGGCATTCACCTTTCTCTACTTTGAATGATGACTATTTATGATCTTGTCCTATTTTGCTTCTACAATATAGTATCTCTGAGGGCAACAACTGTGCTTTATCTCCTAACTCCTATAGTATTTAATAACAAAAGCTTGTATATGGTAAATCTGCAACAAAATTTTGTAACAAAAATTGAATATACAGGCTAGTTACATTAATTCTCAAAATAAACAAATGATTTAAAAATGAAATATCTCTCCAAAGAAAAAAACTTTATGAAATAAAGTTAATCTTTAAAAATATGAAGTTGCTAAAATGAGAATTAGTAATCAAGGCTGAAACTTTCCAGAAAAAGAGAATGCGGATGAAATCCTAACTCTGTACTTCCAGATGAAAAATGTGTCAAATATGTGAATAGGCTCAAGTACAGATAAGACTACTGGCTAATGGGGCGTCACCTTGGCAACTGTTTGTTCAGCAATGGTGCTAGGCCTACGCTGGCGGCCGTCAAGTCTCTGCTCCACAGGAAAACTGCTTCTATGTGATTTCAGGCGCTCCACCAACAAGAAATAAATGGCAGCAAAGTGGTTATAGCTCTTGTTTTGCAAAGACTGAAAGAGAAAACAAGTGGTGAAGGCACAGAACCATAAAAAACAATCCAATGATTTATATCTTTCTAAAAGAGTGAGGGAGAAAAATCATGTGTTCTTCAGAACAAAGTAGCAAAGTAATACCTCAAAACGAAATCTGTTCTAGAATTTAGTGCAGAAGGCAGAAGACCGCAAATTTCTGTAAGTATCAGTTATATAAAGGGTAATTTCTTCAAATGATTTCCTTGGCCCATTTACATGATCAGGATCCACTTATTTTTTCTGCATTGAGAGAAAATGTCATCACTTCCTTAAGTAGACATTCCTAATGCTGTCATATGGCCCCAACTCATAGGTATAAGTATGGTGTAAGGTCAGTTAGCCCTATGTGCAGAAGTTCTAATTCTCTAACTCAAGTCCAAAATCATTGAAAACTCTGAGGTGAATGGTTAAAGCCTTTGGGGAACTTTACAGTGATTATTTGGGGCTAGACAGCAACATTTGGATGCTACATTGAGAGACACTGTGTCTCTGTTCTTAGGTAATTTTTTCCTCTTGTTTTTGCAGTCCCACCCTTTTGAAACCTTGAAAATAAAGTTGCTTCTCAAATTTTCCCATTTCTAGCCTGCCAGCTTTCCCGGATGCTAACACAGGAGAGAAGCAGCTGCTCCTTTGGCTTCTAATTCTAGTTGCCAGTCTGTATGGGTGCTGTGCCGGGCACCATGGCTGTGGAGCACTCTCAGCAAAGACCACAGGCCAGTGGCACTACTCACGGCTGCTGTTCTGGATCTGTTTTATGGACAAGTACCAAAAAACATCACAGGGCACACAATGAGGAAAGCAGGAAAGCCAGATTGGTTCTGCTTACTGCTACAACAGGGGACAAGGCAGCACAGTTTGGAACCTTTGTCTTTCATACCCAAAAGGGGTATTTAATATTTCTTCTTGTTATGCTTCTTCTTAAAAGTACTGTTTAATTTTTTATTGTTGTGGAGAGGGCTCAGTGGCACCGTGCCTGCCTTGCAAGCACAAGGTCCTGAGTTTAATCCCTGGTACCAGTGTGTGTGTGCGTGTGTGTGCGTGCGTGTGTGTGTGTGTGTGTGTGTGTGTGAGACTTACTGTTGTGGAAGGTCTTAAAAAATATATATATATGTATATCCTGGGCTGGGGATTTAGCTCAGTGGCACCACACCTGCCTCACAAGCTCAAGGTCCTAAGTTAGATCCCTGGTACAAAAAAAAGTATCTATCTATCTATCTATCTATTTATCTATCAATCAATACTACAGGACAGTTAAAAGCCAAGAACAATTTTCCAGGTTCATAACCTTCAAATCAGGATTCCACCTGTTTCTGCCCTCTTTGTTTCTCCAGTTTACAACCTATACCCAACTGCTTTCTTAAACTTGGTATCTTCTCTTCTTGTTTCCTGCTCAGACCTTAGTCTTGTTCCATATTTGCACATTCGTATTTCATACCAACTAGTTTAACACTGATATGAAACGTCACATGATACCTTGTGCTTGTTAAATTTCCATTTTGCCTTTTTTTGAGTCCTCTGTGAACTCTCTTTCTTGAATTTTTGGCAGATGGAAAAAGTAAGGAATTCAAATATTAAAGGAAATGTAAATAGAATCTGATGTAACTGCTGGGGAACACTGAACAGCATCCCTAGATGCTGGAGACAGATGTGCAAAAAGACCAACATAACAGAAGTGGAACTTCAAGTTACTAAGTGCAGATGACTGCTAATATATCTTTGGTCAAATCTATGATCAGTTTACCTCAATGGTCTTCTGTTGATCTATTCCAAGGCTGTGCATCAATCGCAGAACCTGCTCATTAAATTCCCCAATGGATGGCTCATTTTCTTGCTCTTGTGGATAGAGAACAGGTCTCTGTACAGGAACTTCTATGAGCATCCACTTATGCTCCTTGATTTGAGCTATGGTTAGCCGTTTAGATGGGTCTAGGACCAACATCCTTCGAATGAGATGCTCACAATCTACAGAAAACAGTGTTACAAAAGTCACATAAATCACTTTGCTTTAGGTTTATCTGCTTCACTCATGTGACTTTACAATCATGTTAATCTTTGTATCCTTCACTGAAAAGCAGAAAGTCAAATGGGTAAATCAGAAAGATACTTATATGTGTCAAGTTCACAAGGTGAAGGGATACTTTAAAAAAACACAGAAGGGTATAATCTGGCTAAATGAGTCTTTCTGTCTTTTTTATTTGGTACCAGGGATCGAACTTGGGACCTTGTGGTTGCAAGGCAGGCAGCAGAACCACTGAGCTAAATCCTTGGCCCTAAATGAGTCTTTCTATTGAAGTTCTCAACTGAAATTATCTAGTCAAAGACTCAGATTTCTATTAAAGAAAAAAACTAAGGTAGGGCTGGGGATTTAGCTCAGTGGTGCCGCTGCCTGCCTAGCAAGTGCAAGGTCCCAAGTTTGATCCCTGGTACCAAAAAAACAACAAAAAAAACTAAGCTACATTTAGAACAAGCAAATAATAAATTAGTCCTCAATCACATCTAAGGCTGATATACTATGGCTATGTAGGTGAGGCAAAAGACTCTCCAGCAGGGTATTGCTTTTTTATCGCTACTGCTGAGAAAAATGTCCATGAAACACGATTTACTTCTGATTACACTAGGAACATTGCACTACTGTAACTTTGAGCCCCAGCTGATTCTCTGAGCTGGCCTCATTCTCTTCATCACATTCATATTAGCTAATTTTATACTGTTCACTGTAATCTGGCACTGTGCCTGGTGCTTCACCACAGTACCCTGAGGGCAGAAAGTATTCTTATTTCTGTTTTATTTTATTTATATTTTGTTATTTCTATTTTATAGATGAAGAATTGAAGCACAGAGAGGAGCTGTGTCTTGCCAAAGCCATACAGCCAGTGAGTGGTGAGTGTAGGATTAAAACCAGGTAGTCTATGCTCTTAGCTACCAAGAGGACTACTGTGCTACTATGTTTAGTAGGGACAAAAGAGTCAAGGATTAAAACCAAAAAGGTAACTAAAGAGTAAATTTAACTACATAACAAGACAAGATAGGCAGGGATTATGGGTTTTCAATTTAATTCACTAGAGTTCCTCCAGTTGGCTTTTAATTTAATTTAAAAAATTTAAAATTTTGTAAAATCCACTTCATACTTAGAGCAAAATTACTGTGAGCCTGTATCTATGAAGTGCTTCTGTAAGTCTAAAATAAACTTGGGAGATTTATAGACCTAGAATAAACAGGAAGATTTGATGTTCTTAATTGGGGAAACTTCTGTTCTTAGTTACAAGTAGGAAGGCTGGAACTTTTCTCTTCTACATGGAAGGGCTGCTTATTTTTAAGGCTTTGAAAATTACTTAATCATCTGGTACTCAAACTCTCAGGAAAGGGGAAGGTTTGGCCTAGAGATTTCTTTTGGAGCACAAATTCTGTAAAGCACAATTAGTAAGATGAACAGCTTATTACCTTCTGACATGAAATATGGAATCCGAAATCTTCCTTCCAAAACCCTCTGCCTCAAAATTGGAAGAGTTGGTCCATCAAAAGGTAGTGCTCCACAAACAAGAACGTAAAGGACAACTCCCATGCTCTAGGGAAGAAAACAACACAGTCATTTTCCAGGGAGAACCTCAAATATTCTTTGTTTTCCCAAACATCCCCAGGGCTCTTGAAATCATATGGACTGAAAAATCCCTGTCCAGATTTATTTTCTCAGAATTTGGAAAAGAAAAAGCTAAAACCCTAACTACTACAGTAAGTATAATAAATATCAAATGATCTGAATCCGATCATTTTTCTTACTGCTTAACTTTAAATTATTGCTAATATTAGGATAACACCTGTCCCTAGAAATTTGTTTGTAGGGATCCATTTCAATATGCTAATTATAGTCCAGTAGATGGGGAAAACATGGAATGCTGTTTATGTGTTGAGTACCAGGAGCTTCTAGGATGGGTCAGAATGCCAGCCATTATCATATAGATGCATTTAACACAGCAAAGCAAAGCAATACCCAAATATCCAGCTGTGGTCCTTCATACTGCTGCCCTTCAAAGACTTCTGGGGCTGCATAAGGGGGGCTGCCACACCATGTTGTCAGCAGTTCACCACTTTTAAAGAAATTTCCAAAACCGAAATCTATTAGGATGGAAATAAATGTTACTTTCATCTGTGTTCTCAAACTACACTGCATTTCTCTGTAATAAATTTTATAATATGCCATATCAACAGTGTTAGTAAGATTCACTCTGTGAGGACTGGGATGATATCTTTTTTTTTTTTGGCACTGGGGATCGAAGAAGAGGGATAAATCTTTCTAAACAGGGAAAAGATCAAAAGGTGGAGAGGGTGGGGTGGGAGGAGAGGGAAAGGGGATGATAAAAAGGAAGTGCAAGATGTGTTATGTACCTGTACCAATTGCTCCCCAGGTCTGTAAACTTTATGTACTACCAACATGTACTAATAAAAATAAATAATAAACCAAAGGTAAATACAAACCTTGAGACCCATTCTGGAAA